ACATGTCAAAAATGAAATTGCCAAGTGATCACCAGAGTTAAAATCTGTTTCTCTTGGACATTGCAGGTTTGAAACCTACCAGTTGCACCATTTGTTTTCTATAAAACCACACCTTCAAATATGCTCATGGTTGGTTTGCTTGCAAGCTGATCAAAGTTGTGTTTAGGTAAGTGGTTGTTATAACAGAATCAAAATCTGTTTCTATTGGAACATAACAGGTTTCATACCTGTTGAATGTTATATTTTTTCTATGAGAATGTGCCTTGAATGTTTGCTCATAGACAGTATCTCAGACATTGATCTTCGTTTGTCTTAGTCAAGTTATTGCCAGAGTTAAAATCTGTGTCTCTTGAACTTTGCAGATTTGAAACATGCCGATGATGATATTTTTATTCTATGAAATTAAACTCTGATATTTCCTCATTAATAGTTTTCTTCGAAATCCATCATAAATGCTCTTTTCCATATCATTGCCACAATATATTCAAAATATGTTTCAATCAAAGCCTACAGGTCTGCAATCAGAGCACTCTTCACAAGGAAATGTCAAGGTGTGATTTCATAGGATAAAAATATTATCATTAGCAGGTTTCAAGATAACTCAGCTAAGACTGATGAAGATAAGTGTCTGAGATACTGTCTATGATTCAATATTTAAGGCATTTTTTATAGAAAAAATATAAAAAAATGTGATGTCTCACTGGTTTCAAACCTATTGCACTCCAATAGAAACAGATTTTGATTCTGTTATGACAGTCACAGGGCTAAACACAACTTTGATCACCTTGCAAGCAAACTGACCATAAGCATATTTCAAGGTGTACTTTCATAGAAAATGGATTGTATCACTGGTAGGTTTTAAACCTACACAGTCCAAGAGAAACAGTTGTGTTTAGCTAGGGCTGTTATCACAGAATCAAAATCTGTTTCCATTAGGGTGCAATGAGTTTGAAACTTGTGGGATATCACTTTTTTCCTATAAGAATGTATTTTGAATATCTGCTTCTAGACAGCATCTCAAACATTGGTCTTCATTGGTCTTGGTCAAGTTATCACCAGATTCAAAATCTGGTTCTCATTACCAACTTTCTGCCCTCTGGAGGCTTTGACTCAGTCAATAGGTACCTAGTCATCTAAGTTAGTCAATGGAGTAGAATAAAACTTAAGAGAATAGATAGGTATTAAATTACTATTACAATAGAACATTATCCTCTAGATATATTGAAATACTTTTGGTAGCTCTTTTTCTGTACCTAAAGTCCCTTTGAATTTCTCTCAAAACTGAAGTATAAGCTATTTGATATCTAGATAATAGAAGGATGTGAGATACTGTTAAGATTGTACTCTTGTAGGATTGGATCTAAAGAACTTTGGCCTTAGCTCATACACTGTGCCCCTTTCCCAAGTACTGTCCCTTATTTCAGAGACTAATGATAATGCATCTGGAGGGTCGGATGAGTCTTATAGTAATATCCAGATGACTTTCAGATATTAGATACATGCATAAGGCTAATCTGGATGGGTTCAGACTAGAAACAAACAGAGTATAGACTATCTGAAGATAGAGCCAGAAATATAGACTATTGGAATTGATCTGAAGTCTCAGAGATTGGTGAGAGCTGATTAGACTCAAGTCTGAAGGATAGAAAGAGGACAAACTAAGATGATATTTGAACTAAGGTACTACAGAACATATACAAGAGTTTATATACTAAGAGAATAACAGAAGGATCAATAAGCAAAAGTCCGAGGCATGTATGAAGCATATGCAAAGTTTATCAAACACAAGTTGGAAATGAAGCATAGGTTAATGGATCAGTAAGCATACCAGTAGTAAGTATAACTGAGATACCGGGAATAGGAAATTAATTAAGAAGCGGATCTATACATTGGACCAGATCGAATCTAAGGGTCTGAAGTCTGGAAGAGAAGCATGAATATATGAGATATGACAGATACAGATAATAGAACAATAGTTCTAGCATCCTTGCTTACTTCAAATATTTTTACTAGTATGCTGCAATGAGATAGAGGAATATCCTATATTTGATTTTCATATGTGTGTTTCTATAGCCTAGATAATATTTGAAAATGTGAGAATATCCTCCAACACAATAATACCACATTGGAGAAATAATGATTATAGTAAAGTCTAATAATAAAGAAAGTTAATTGAATAGTACTATAACATGGATAATTAATTATGGCATCAGGGAGAGTTAAATGTCAGAGCAGTTTCATGGCCAAAATCTTACACTATATCACAATAGGGACCAAGTTACCTATTATAGTACTTTTTTATCATAGACTCAACTAATTAAGTGAATTGTATATCAAGTGAAATCATGTACTAACGTAAACACTCACAATGTTCATTACTTGCATGTGCCATCACTAAAAGCAGCAGGTATATCCTGTCCTCTGGAATGTCCAATTTGACAAGGTTAGCTTGCTATGAGAAAGGGCCATAGCCATCTACTTGGCAAATGCATCGCCAGATTTCATCCATTGTGATAAGATGCAACATGAGGCCTTGAAGTATTGTGCTAATTTCTGTACATACATGCTGAATCGTAGCATTATCAGGCATATCAGCACATTGATCCATTGACAGCAAAAATATATTATTGGTGATGGAGATGCCTTCATTCACATGTGTCACTGTCTTAATTTGCACAGTATTAGTCTGACTGATGGCGCTACAGGACCTATTCAATTTTGCACCAGATGTCTCATGCTCCAGAGTCACATGTGGTGTTGTTCATGAGTGTTAAGACCATGCACAAAGGGTAGGACTGATTCTGAGGGGCTTGGCTTCAGCTCGTGCGCTGCGCCCCTTACCCGAGTATGTGCCCTTAATTTCAGATTGGTGTCTGAGGAAAGTCTGAAGACATCCAAAGACATCCAAAGGACATCCAAAGGCGTGGGAAACTTCGGAAGGACTTTCCAGACGGGTGCAAGTAACTTCCGGATGAGTGTGGGAAAGTTCCGGAGGAACTTCCGGAAATTACAATGAGGTTTTGTCCTGATACGGATATGTATAATGGCTACTCGGGACTTGTCCTGAGTAGAAGTAAACAGAGGAAAGGCTGCAAGGACAAAGTCCAAAGCAGAATAGGTCCGGAGGACCGCGGGAAAGATCCGGATGAACTTCCGGAAACTACGGAGGATCGGATGAGCGGATGAGCGGAGTATCGGATAAGCAGAGCTCTGGCCTAGGGAGAAACTCCCTAGGCCTGAGATAGATAACAACTAAGTTGGAAGACTAGAACTGATATGAGGACTTAGAGTGAAGACTAGTGCGAGGACTAATATGATATTCAGACTGAGGTACTACAAGACATATACACAAGTTTATATACTAAGAGAAATAACGGAAGGATCAATAAGCAGAGTCCGAGGCTATGTACGAAGCATATGCAAAGGTTGACAAACGCGAGTCGGAAATGAACATAGGTTAACAGATCAGTAAGCATACCGGTAATAGATATAACCGAGGTACCGGTAACAAGGAATACCGGATAGGCTGTGTTAACGTTATATGCACAGGAAATGAATCAAGAAGCTTATTGTATATTGGATAGGAAATGTATCTATATGTCGGATAGGATCGGATCGGACCGGATCGGATGTGGTCCGGATGAGATGCGTGGATATGCAAGATATAATATTAGGGCAATGGGACAAGGGTGAACGATGCAGGCTAGCTGCGAAGGTAAAGGGATCTGGATGTGGATGTGTGGAGGTGCAGGGATCCGGATGGATAGAGGACTGCAGACATGGATAGGATATCCGAAGGTCCGGATGAGGCATGGGAATATTATCGGATGTAGGTCCAGAATACGGGATATGACAATGAGCAATTTTTGGCAATGGAAGACTCAGATGCACTAGAAGCGAGTTTGGAGTGGTGATGGGTTAATGATACCATTTTTGGTGTAGTGGTAGGCATTGTGGGAGAAATATTTTTAGACTTCAAGGGGGTGATGGCGGTGAAATGATGACAGGGCATGATACTGGCTGTGCGAGCTTTACAGAGGGGACAAAGGGAGATGTCCCATCATCAGACAGCATATGAAGTGAGGAGCAAGTGGAATAAGGTGGCGATGTGATGGTAGAGCATGAGAGAGATGATATAGACATATTGACAGAGTTGGTTGAAGAACACCAGTCCTCCAACACATAGTCATCCACAAGTTGTGGTGAGGCAGCGACGGGCAGAAGAGGATCGGGAAATATGTATGATCCAGTGATGTTACTGTCTGCCAGTTGTTCAGAGACTGATGTAGACAGAGGATTGGGCAAATATGAATGCAAATGTTGGCATTCAGCCTCATCTAATGCTGCTATCCCTAGCAAAACATGTTGTTAGTGAACGAAATAGACAAAAATAGAAACTATTATACTTTTGAGTATTGCTTCTGGGAGCTGAATATGGTCCCATTTGAATCACATAATGCAGTGACATATCTCCCTACCTATTGGACAGCCCATGTTGACATTCCTCCATAATAGTTAGGCCAACCCACCATGGGCCCACATATGGGATTGTACCCCAGTATAGAGGGTGGGCCAGGTGCTAGATAATAACCAATGCTCAAGGATGGGCCCACTGTATATACATTATGGAATACAATAATATATAGGATAGTGGTATATGATGCATAGGCTATGTCTGGTAGGTTGTACCCAATAATAAGGGGTGGCCCTACATGAACTTGCCACTACCTTAACGCATTGCCAACACAGCATAGCATCGCCATCGCCAACACCCGAGCATATCTGCGGCATTGCCGACATCGTATATATCGGCTGCCATATGCATAATACAATCAAAGCATATATACATATACTTATATGTGGTATCAGGATATAAATGAGTCAGTCTATATTGAATAGCTGTATCATCTACTACCACGAGGATGGCATGATTCTTGGTTAAATCTAGTCAACCTTCATCAGGGGATCACCGACAATGTCAAATTCCAGCATTGCTGACATTATATCAAAGTAGCACCCCACCGTATGGTAATGGCATCTATGGCGCGGAGGCCCAGTACCTGAACTCCTGTGTAGCATCGGCAACTATGGACTGGTAGGTAGAGTAGTTAGTGCAGGGAATATCTACAAACTCATGCATATCATACCTCATGTACCACACCCAGGCTATTTGGTCGCCGTCCACCTCATCCACCCCATGTCTGATAATCCTTCCCAAACCAACAACCATGACACCTGAACCATATTCAATTTCAATGCCTAAATTAGGCATCTTCATCCTTGCTACTCCATAATCACCAACACTTGTCATGACATCAAACTATTGCGGATGAGAAATAGGATCACAGTGCAAGGGTGAATGCCGGTTGCACATAATGGAGACAGCTGTAAACACAGATGCTCACTCTCTGAGACGCTCACTCATTTCATCAAAAATTTTATCCGCTGCCCAGAGACCAAGGGCCAGCTTTGTTGCCAATGATGACCAATAGAGGTTAGGGTGCATGACCCTCAAGGCCGCAGTGATGAGCACTGCCGATCTCTGTATTGCCTGACATATAGACCTGCCATCCTCTTTCAGAGTCGCTGAGACATGTGGATGAAACTTGGGCACCTACCATGTATGAGCATGGATACTGCTAGCCGTTACATGCGAACCACAACTCACTGGGTGTCCTTGCAAAAACCATGCTGGCGACAGATTGATACACCCCGGAGTTACACCGTGTCGACTAGGATGAAAGTTTGATACATGAGTTCTCCATTTATCATTTGCAATGGCGCTGCAAGTGACACTTTGTTCCAGAGCAACTGACATCCTTGCGGTGGCCGCCGCCATGTCATGCTAAAATCATCAAAGGAATCATTGTTGGCAATAGGGACAACTTACCTGTATATGTAGATCAATAGCCCCAGGGAGGTACCAGAGAACTATAATACTGAACTTGTCACAAACAACTGTAGGCTGATCAAGAACAATATGACTCTCTGGCGGATATTGGGCAAGCAGGTTTTCTTCTCGATCAGGGTTGGTCCCCTTCTCCATCATCTGCAGTACATTGGCATACCTAGCTATATCAAAGTTAATAGATACTAATGCCAATACAACTGAGCGGCGCGCCTCGAGAGGATGAAAGAGTCTTACCTGGATTGTGATATGCATCAGCGAGAGTACTGGCTAGTTGGGAGCATGCCATAAGCATGGCAAAATCAAGTTCAAGGGGAGGAAGGGTGTTTGGCCATCCAGTAATCAGAGCACAGAACTGGCAATACACATATTCACTTGCAATATTGGTTGTGGCCAAGGCCCTAGTCTGGGGGAACAGGATTCATGAAGACCAAATAACATTAGTACCATCATCTGTTCTATATATTTTTGCTGCCAAAGGAGATTACATAACATCGCCAAATATTAAATGATGTTGTGTCCAAACATCACTGATGAAGTGAGGACAAATGTAATAAGCAATGCATCCTGCACACTGCTGATGACATGTACTTCCCACCATATGTAATGAAATCGGCATGACAATGACAATGTTTTACTCTCAACCCCTCATGGCTGCTGCATGGCCTTCTCATATTTACATAACTAGATAATGCTGCCATGAAGAATCAGAATGAAATCACAGCACTCCCATGTAGTATCATGTACCACATCCACACCACCATCAGATGTTAATGATTCCAGCGGCAATATAAAACTTGCAGCATCATACATGGGACCCACCACCTAGATAAAAGAAGCATATCGTCGGTGACTATCTAATCCTAGCAGCATTATGGATACATGATCGATAGTGACGCGCCGCTCATGACAATTGATGTCCGCCGACAGGGGTTGCCGAATGACAGTGCTGCATACAATTGAATGGAGCATGATGTAGTATTCAACCAGGCAACAGTAACAAAATTTCAACTACTAAACCTTGAATACCAGGAGTATGATGTACAAAAAAAAACATGACTTTAGTTCAGAAGGCCCACACCTGATGCTGACCCACCACTAGCATTTCCACTTTGGCGTGAACTGCTGGTGACATTACTGACTGACTGACTGACTGACTGACTGATGAGGAAACACCAAATCCGGTGATATCAGAACCACTACCGATGTTGCTGGCAGAATGGCCCCCAAACCCAGATTGACCTTGAGGTAAGTTTAGGTATAAACCTTCCATGGCTTGCATTTGGCTGAGGCTCAGGGGCATTATGCTTTGCTGAGGGATGGATGCTGGGTTAGCAAGATACATGGAGTTAGCAAAAGGGGAAGATGATGCATGATTCAGTGCGAGAATACAAAGACAAAGGGCATTGTAAGCGTCCTGGAGAACCCCATTGGCCTGTTCCTGTTGACTCAATTGCTCTTGAGCACACCGAAGGTTCTCATCCCAAGTCACCGACACATCTTGCAATGCCTTGACTTCACATTGCATCCCAATAAGCTCCACATGCATAACTTGCAATGTTCGAATCTCAGTATCCTGGCCAGCGATGCGCTTGTTGAGTCCATTAAGATGCTCAGTGGTGGCGGTATTATGAGCCTGTAGTTGCTCTATCTCCCCCCCCGGATGCAATCCACAACATCATGGAGTGTGGACTCATTGGGACCCGATACTTATGAATCACAAGGCACCGCCAATTTCATAGCCCACAACTCATCAACTATGATGTCTCCTGAGGAATCAACCTCCATTGCCTGCTGGGGAGCAGTGACAGGCTCAGGTGATTATGTTACAAAACCAAATGGAATTGGTTGTGATATAAGGTCCTGTAAATCTGATCACTTCCTACCCCTCTTGGCTTTTGAAGCTTCCACGACTGCCATCTTGCTCCTTGTTCTCTTTGCTGGCATGTCACTGATGGGCTTGGTGGTGCGCTATTTTGCTGCCTTGATGGGTGGCTCTACTATGACATTAGAAGACATACTGCTGGTGCTTGTGATGATTTGGAGTGTTCCTTTTGTGTCTTCGCTGTAACTGTCATATGTCCAATTGTTTTTGATTTCACTGGCTCCAAGTTAAACAACACTCATGCTCCTAACATTAGCTTGCCTTCCACATTTTGCCATGCTAACATTCACAAAGACCCTCATTCCAGCTTGCTTGAACATCTCAGTGGCAAAATGCTCTATCATGTCAGCACCTTTTGATTCAGTGACATTGGCCTGAACTTCCAGTGGAGCAGCTTCATTGTTCCACTTCTTGGCAGTTACTTGTGCCTCTTCCTTCTCCCCCGCCAACAGACCTGTGAGGATAGTCTTAGTAGATGCTGGCCACTTTACAATCATCTCCTCACTCCCAGGAACTTCCCCTGTCTCCTCTAGTGTTCTGCACAGGTAACCCATGGGTATTTTCAGCTGTACCCCTACCCCTACCCACAAAAACCTGTACCCCTGGCCAGGGGTATGGGTTTTTTCACAGGTAGAAAGTTTTTGCCAGGGGTACACCCCTACCCATACCCGTGGAGGGTAACCTGCGGGTATTTGTAGTACATATTGTAGAGCTTGATTAGGCAATTTCAATGGTGGTCTGATCATGTCAAATGGTTAAGATTTGAGCAAGATATGAGCATTACAAGATAGGATCGCATAATTAAGGAAAATGTGAATGTTGTTAAATGACTTAGGTGTCTAATCTGAAGCTAGTATTATCTTGATTATCTTGTCAAACACTTGAGGTCTGGTTAATGTATGAGCTATCCTTTCATTTCGCGTCCTTTTCTTATAATGATCATATCTTGCTCAATTTCCAGCCATTTTGCATGATCAGACCACTGTTGAAATCACCTGATCAAGCTCTACAATATGTACTCCAAATACCCGCAGGTTACCCACCACAGGTACAGGTTTTTAATGGGTTAAATATTTTGTACCCCTACCCATACCCTTCAAAAAACCCTCCAAAAACCCATGGGTTACCTGTACCCCTGCATATCACTAGTCTTCTCTCTGATCTGAGCCTTGTTCTGCTCAACTAACACCATATGAGCTATCCATTTCTTGCCATACTTGACAAGTGGCTTTGGAGCTTTCCGCTGACATTGGTGTACAACCACTCCTTATAAGTCTGTTGTGATAAAATCGATAGATAGGGGTTGCATATATGTACACTGGCACATACCTTTTTCTGAGCTTTCAATAAGGCTTTATCATGAGTGGGAGCTTGGAGGCAGGCTTCCTTGTGAATGGCATTCAAAACATGAAGTCATTGTTTGCCTTTGACAGACTTCCAGTCCTGCAGGTGGGCCTTGAGGACTGTTATTTCTGCCTTGATTAAGGGAAGTTTGGTCTGCTGGGAGACAGTGATAGGTGATTCACTTCAGGCCATGTTATGATATAGTTGATGATATGAATGGTTGGATGGTTGAAAATTGTCAGTCCTGAAGACTCTTACTCCGATTCCTCAGTTCCTTTTATGTTTCATATCTTGTATTATTATATATAGCTACAAGATCAGTCTGAATACAAAGGATATTACTTGCACCTCTTGTGCACAAGTAGCTTCATGCATGGAAAAATCTATTATTAGTAGCATGACATATCCCTGATGAAATTGAGCAGTTAAAAGACTGATCAAAGCCTTATCCCTGGTATTTCATCTATTACATAGAAATAGTAGCTCAGAATCAGTATGACACATACAAACTTTCGGCCTGATATATATTACCTGCTCTGAGATGCTTAAATGGCTGCATGTTCTACACACATAACTGAATCTAATATCAGTGAGATATTTCTGATGAAACAAACCCATAAAATCATAGGTCAAAGCCTAGTAATTGCTAGTATTTAGTAGTAAGGGACAGATGGATACTGATACCAAGTATACATGACATTGGAATTTGTTGTAGTCTAGTAGTGGAATTGGGCTGCCAAAAACTTCACTCATCGAACATCATTCACTTCAGCACATGGGAGGTTTTAAAGTGCAGGAATGGACACCTACCAGAAATATTTGTGTGGTGGAATGGAAGAAAACATTTCGGAGCAGGAAAGTGACAGGAAAATGGGTAGAGAGACCCAAGATCCAAAACATTTGATTGGTTCCAGCCACCCCTATGAAGTCACCATCAAAGCAACCATCACAGAATATGCTATATAATGGTGAAGAAGATTTTTACAATGACATGCACCAGCAGGATGTCATACCATTGCAGCTACCAAAGTCCCTGGTATGTCCAGCAACATCAGGTATTCTGTCCCTCACTTAGCTTGTTTGAAGAGTCAGAATGACTATCTGCGACAATGGGTACTGAAGACCAAAGAATATCTCAATATACTCCTTGAGTGAGAGGCTCCTGCCGACAGGTCATGCATCATTTGTGGTACAGATGGTGTTTACAAATGTCACGGATGCTTCAGTGAGCCCCTCTTTTGTACAAATTGCTGCAGGGTGAAGCACCAGAGGCTTCCCTTCCATAGGATAAGTCAATGGACAGGAGGCTTCTTTGAGGAAAGTTGCTTGGTGAAGATTGGGCTAGTTATTTCACTAGGTCATAACAGCAATCCTTGTCCATGCCAGGACTATGAGGTGGATGATATTGAAGACTTGTTCGCCGATAGCAGTGCCAACAGGAATGATGCTGATGGAATGCAGGGAACAGTGCCGGATGGTAACAACACTGAGATGGATGAACAGGCAACCAGCATGGGCTATAGAAAGAGCACCAACCATCTACCGACTGGTGTGCCATTCCTAAAGAATAGTAAGACTATGACAACGATAGTGGACAAGTTAGGAATACACAGCCATATCACCAAGTATTGCTTGTGCACTGATGCACTGACCGCTGACATCCAGCTTTGTCAAATGGAACTATTTCCAGCATTCTTTTCCCAACCCAAGACAGTCTTCACCTTTGAGGTACTGGACAATTTCTTACTGGACAATTTGGAGTGTGGGACGTCGGCGATGAATTATTATAACAAGTTAAGAAGAATGACCACTGCCATCTTTCCACACCTCATGCCAGTGAGATCATTCATAAATCGTCGGCATGGGGTTAACCACTCTGCAGGACCATTACTGGGAGCTGAGGAGGGTAGCCAGACAATGGCGGCATCTGAAGCTATTGAAATAGAATGGCTTCGGTCATGAAACAAAAGAAGTGAAACCTGGCGACCTTGCTCTGTTTTGTCCAGCATGTCCACAGCCTGGAATTAATATAACATTGCCGACTGCAGAAGGCGGAGAGATAACGAACACTGCACCAGATCTGGAGGCGCCGAGTTGGCTTTATTCATGATCCCTAGTCATGGATGGAAACTTTAAAGCTGAGTATATGCATGCCTCAAATCCATCAGATCAAGTTGCGCTCATGGACGGCCAGGGCTTCATGGTCGGCGACAGTCTGTATAAAGCTCATCTTGCACAGGCAAAGGATATCATACAACAGTCAGAATGCAACAACCACAGAGCCGTAAATCAAGCCAATGCATCTCATCACTGACTTGAAGCAACGGGGATCAGAGGTTGTGCCTGTGCAAGGCATGGCTGCTTTGTGCCACATGCAATGGTGGATTTTCACAAGGGAGAAAGGTACACATTGCTTAAACCGCCAACATACTTGTAGGACATCGCCGATAGCACTTAGACAGATGAATATGGACTATGCATTGTGTGAGGCATTAAAGCACAACACCGATGGTATTTGGCATGCATTGACATTCTATGATGTCAACTGCCAGTACCATAAGTATCTTAAGAACCGTATTGCTGAGAGTTCTTTTTTGGACATTCCAGAGCAGCTGGAAATCATACTAGGAATTGGCCTTTGGCATGTTCATGGCCATCAGGACAGCTGCTATGTGCGCTACGCCTCAAGCTTTATCAAGGGCGCCACATGTATTGACGGTGAGATCATGGAGTTTTCTTCGGCGTGTGGAATAGGGATGCTGCACCACAAGGAGTGCTTGGATTATCAAATGAATGATTGTAACTTCATGAAAATGATTAGGATGAGTGGGTTACATCTCCTTCGTGATGTAAATAACTGACCAAAAATATAGGTAAAGCCATTTGCCACAAATTCAGACAAGTGGTAAAAGGTGTTGCCGAAAGCACCGCCACCTTTGAGAAGCTTAATGATAGCACCGATGCCATCAAAGTTCAGCATTGGGAGGAACAAGAGAGACTTGCACAAGAACAGTGCATGATTGATCCACAAGCAATGGACATTTATGAGGTCCAAATACAAAAAGGAATTGAAGATTAATATTGTAACATCAATACTAATGGCCAGACAGCACCAACAAGAAAACAAAATTAACTGCAGTTGTTAGTACAAGGTCAGCACCTTGGTTCAGCGTCTCGCAGAGGAGCAGCAACATGGCTGGCGGAGGGCATATCAATTGAGGAGGCACAGGTGACACTCCAGATAGATGTCAGAAAATTGGGGAGGTATCCCACCAAACATCAGCAGTTAGAGATTGCACACCGTCATGAGAGACTACAAGGAAAAATTGATTGTTGGGAGGCTATTGGTCTTAGATTTCTCGGCAATGGAATTGGTGATGGTGATGTTCAAACTTTGGAACAGGAGTTTCTTATTCTAGAAGATGACGAAGATGAATACATCATGGATGAATTTGGACTCTTTGAGCCAGAAAAGATATTCATATCCATGTCATCCAATCTAGGTGTAGAGAAATGCACTGACATTGGCACTGCCGACCTCATTCAACAGGAACTTACTCTTGGGAGGGACAGGCGAATGATGCCCTTCACAACATCTGAGTGCATCTTGCAGACAAGGCAGTCATTTTCCGCACCTCTGTCAGAGCAGCAAAATCACAGGCCAAGTCTACTAGAGCTTGGGTGCAAGTTCATTCAGTGGACAGGATTGTAAGTATCAATGCAAGCATTTATTCAAAGTGCCGCACACAACTCAGTAAACTCAGCGCCGACAATACATTGCTCGAGAGATATTGTCCATTGGCCAAGGAGCATCTGAAGGTTAGCACAGCTGTGGCAGATCCAAATGCAAGAGGACAGAGAATCAACACCTTGGCACGGTTTTGGTCTATGGATGTGGAAAGGGATTCCAACAGCAGTGACTGGTTGAATGAATGTGAGTTGCTGGCTTGGATTCTGAATTCACCGCTTACCCCGTCAATGACATATAGTTTACCATGTACATTGGCTGCATGCAAAGGCCATGATGGATCATTGGAAGGAGGAGCTCCTGCTTGTGCAGTATGAGATGAATTGGACATGCAAGTTCTTTCTGCACAAAGCAGAGCAATGGATCCATTTGTCTATCGCTGCCCAGGATAAGCAATCCTTGGGACATATTGCCTATGTGGCATGGCAGAGGAAAATGTATCAGGCGCCTATATGAAGATGCGATGGATGCATTTAGAACAGTAAAATTATTATGCTAGCAGAGTCCTCTTAATACTGGCTATGCAACATGTATATCCTGGATTCAATAATTATATGTTGTGCCTGTGTTATTAGTATCACAAGACTACTTATGGCGATCATGTAAAATGATTGGTAGAGAATGCACTGACGACCAGTGATAAATCAAAGATATGGGCAGTGATGGATGTTGCATTACAGGTCTACGTTGGAGCCCCACCGAATCAGGATTCTAGTAGTATAATCCATTGGCGGTGGTGGATATGGCATTACATTTGTAAATTTGAGCCCACCAAAACACTATATAATCCATTGGCGGCGGTGGATGTTGCATTATGTGTCTAAGTTGGAGCTCACTGCAACATGATTCTAGCAGTATAACCTTACACTAATTCTGATGCTGATTACAATGGATCAACAAAGGCATTTAATTGCAATCGGCCATCCTACAATCACTGTGCCTCTCGTTTTAAATACTTCATCAACTGTTCCATGACATTAATTGTGGCGCCCACATCCTGACCCAATGCGGTTTCCATTCTCATCATGGATGCCACCACTAGTCAGGCCTCCACTACCTTGCTTTCCAACATTGCGATAATGTAGTCACCCTCCTGCTTAACTTCGGCTTCGATGCATGCCAGCTGTTATGCCACTGGCACTGACCTTGCCTCCACCAATGTTCCAGGTGTGACCAACAAGCGGCCCTCTGGCTAAATTGAAATATCAGCCAGTGTGATTGGCAGGATGAAAAATACTGACCATTTGAGCAAAATGGTTTATTACCATTTGCCTGATTTCATTACAATCTGGGAACTTCGTGGTGAACTCCTTGTAGTCCATTGTATTGAATGGCATGGTCCACCAGGCCATCAGATATGTGTGAATGATATGACCTCTCACCCAAGGACCGGATGGTGTCGGCAGCAACTTCATGAAGGAATCATACAATTCCTGGTTGGTGAGCAGTTCTACCTGGCTCATCCCAAGTGTCGCTCAAGCCCTCACAAAAGGCCACCCAAGGGAGGATAAAGACCTGTTCGGCGATCAATAAATATCTCTATCAGCGACATGCAAATCACATACCTCTCCCTCCCACATCAGATATCTTGCAACAATGTGGCAAACTTTCGCTGAAGTGACAAGCATGTTGTCCTCCAAAGCCATCTGGATAGCGAGCAAGTGGGACATGGTGAACTCAAATATATTTGCCATGTCGGCGAGATCAAATGTGGTGCAGTCACTGGTAGGACTCACACGTTCGGTGAAACCAGGAATGTGTGACATATTTATTATGATCGTCTTGAAATGAAGGTCAATGTATGTGACCAAGGAATCGGAGTTTGAATATATGTGGTAACTGAGGATCCATTGTGTCGGCAAACATGTGGTGCCAGCATTTATTTGAGTCAGTATTCATGGCACAGAATCAATGTGACATGGACTTTAAAAATAGGTGCTGACAATATTCATATTAAATCTTCTATATTCGTGCCGCTGCCAGATTCTGGTGGCAGACTTCAATGCAACAAACTTGGTGGGTTGCAATGTTTGAAATTCATTGTCAGTCACAATTGATTATAGCGTAGGTTTGTGGGGAGGAAGGGGCTATACGCAAATGTGTTGTGGAGTTGTGGGATGTGGTTGCAACCACACAATTGGTATTGTTCAGTGCCCAATTAGGCAAATACATAATTAAATCTTCTATATTAGTGCTGCCGCCAGAATCTGGCAGCAGACTTCAATGCAAAACACTTGGTGGATTGCAATGTTTGAAATTCATTGTCGGTCACAATTAATTATAGTGGAGGTTTGTGGGGACGAAGGGCCCATACACAAATGTGTTGTGGAGTTGTGGGATGTGGTCACAACCAAACGATTTGTATTGTTTGGTACCTGATTAGGCAAATACACATGACATAATCAGCCACGTCACACTGGTATTTATTACCATCACAATTCATCGCCACTCATCAGACTCTTGCTTGTTCATACTTTGTGCTTCTACATCAATTAACACATTCAATATGTCTTCTGTAACTAATACCACATGCACGACTGCCAACCAGACCTTCTGCAAGGCAGGAAAGCGCATGGAAGAACTCCTGCAGACAGCTTTGCAGTTGGATCCTACCAATCCTCGCAATATGCCAATTGTGGTGGACATGGCAAAAATGCTAGTAAGTTTGGTAATTCTTGCAAATAGTATATTCTCTCATGGTAATTCTAGTCACATGCATTTACGATGTTTGCAACACAAGCAAAGTCCATTCCACTGATTGTACTTTCTGCTGCCACAGAGTTGCAGGAACACTTGGACACATCCTTTTGCAAGGTCATCACAACTCCTGTTTGGACTAACATCTGCAGAGACAATCCTCGCAACACCCGGAGCCCCCTTTACCCACTAAGTGTTAGCTTTGCGCAACCTGCGCCGCCAGCAACTCCTCCTATTGCTGGTCCTTCGCAGTTTAGCGGTGCCCTTCCTCAGGAACCTGTGATGTCTGTTGAGAAGGGGCAAAGGCAAGGAAAAAGCAAACCCTGCTGATGAGTCTGCTGATGAGCGTGGTCGTCAACTGGAGTGTGGCAAATGTGCATGTTCACGCGCCACTAGCACCAGAAGTCGCAGCAGTGTGCCGAAGACTAAGTGTCAGCATGCAAAGTCTAAGGTCATTATCAGTGATAATGATGAAAGTGAGGTAGAAAATGCGAAGGTCGCTGTAGAGACTCATGCCTCTCATGGCATGATATGGCAGTTTTCACCAAGGAGTATACAGCACAAACTTGCAGCACCACTCTGTGTGCTATCCACAGCTATTCCTATATGAGGCGCAGCTTTCCACGTGCTTGAGCGCCCTATAGTGCCAGCCATCCAGAAGCATCCATCCACTGTCCACCAAGCCCTCTAGTGCGTATATTTCCATTTCTCTTATGAGCATATTGTTCCACCTTTATTTTTATCATGGACTCTCACTCATATATATCTTTACATACCTTACTCAGTAGTGCTTCGGCTCCGCATGACAGCGCTTAGGCACGCTATATAAGCACCAGCAGTACATACTATGAGGGAGCACACTTCATCCTACTCACTTACTAGTTACTACCCACTTACTACTTAGTAGAACATAGTAGAAATCTATTTGTCTACACTTCGCATCTCTCTTCTCTTGTCTTACATCATATCATCACTTAAGCAAACTCACTCTTACTCTATCGTTTCCGCATATGTGCGCGCACTTTCTCATGCTTCACGCTAATATGTGCGCGTGTTCCCACGCCTTGCGCGCACCTGCGCTTTCTCGTGCTTTGCTTTAGTAGCACACTTCTAGATCCTTGCTGCACTTGCTTCCCCTTTAGGGTCAAACGCACTTGTCGTCTCAAGTATGTATAGCAGACTAGGCAGCGCATGACCTTACAACATTTACAGATACAGTCAGGAGCCTCGTTTGTGCCTCACTGTATTGTTGTTTCTACATCGCCAAGGAAGCGGCACCAGTCAAAGTAAGTGTTGATATCTTTTCATGTACTTATGTTCTGACATGTGTTAGTCATCTTTGCCAGCAAGACTTCCTCCTGTGGTGAAAGGTTCCCGCCAATGCTGCAAGTCTGCCGCAAGTCAGCTTGAGGGCACAGTGACACCAAATCCTGCACCCAGGACAGGCCCGTGATACATCAAAGTCGACAAGTTGGATGAGAAGATGAATGAGATGAATGTAGGTCCTGCGCCGAAAATGGGGATTCCTTATGTTGTGATCCCGGTAAGTTGATATTTGATTCAATAGCCCAATTTACTTTCTAACATTTCCCAGCCTGCTCCCAAGATCATCAAGGCTGTCCCGAAGAATGCAGGCACTGCCACCTCCAGCTCCCCCAATGTCCTTGAGGAAGACGACCATACCAACCTGAGATCGCTGGTATGGGATCCAGGATGCAGTTCCTGTGTTCAAAGGCAGCTGGTCTGCCGCCAAGGATTCAACACCACCAGCGGCAAGTTGGCTGTTTGTGTATGCTACCACCGCTTGAAACATCACTGCGGCGGCAAGGGCTCAGCTCCTCTGCAGAGGGGTAAGAAATCTACAGCGACTGTCGCTCACTGCACAAGGTTGAAGTCCTGCCAGCGTCCATTACTGGTTCATGTTGCCGAAGTCACAAATGGTATGTGACTTTTCATTCTGCTGATCCATATCTTACAGACCAACAGAACTCCCGCACATGGACCCTGTAGCCACCATCACTCAAGGACCTGCAGCAGGTGACCAGGCTCACACCAATGTCACTATGAACACCGCCGATGCTATCCCAGCCACTTCCTCCGATTCTACCATCGCACTTCTTGCTGCTGCCACCAATGTCACTGTCACTTCCAGTCCTGCAGCTGACATGGATGCCACTACCACTGCGACTCCTGCCACCAAGGCCAGTACATCAGTCCTTTCCCTGACGGATGAGGTAGCAGCACTGAAGGCAATTGTGAGTTCTCTGCAGGAGAAGGTGAGCTCAGGTGAGCAACAAGTCATTGATGCCAACTGGTGACTTGCCGAGCAAGAGGCAACCTACACACTGCTCGCCAAGCAGATGGCAGAACTTCAACAGGAATTACTCCTGACATCTTCAGTTTGTTTGCCAGTGATCATTGGCAAGCACTGTGCCTCTCTAGTACCTATTTCTAATTCTGGCATTGATGCAGAGGATGCTCCAGCTGAGTCGGCATCCATAGCATCTACCACACATGAATGAGCTGTTACATAGTGATCTAGACTTGTATGTATTTGTAGTATTAGGATAATTGCAATGGACTATGGTAGTTAGATTTGTCATTTTGTACTTGTGAATACACTGATGTATTCCTCCTTCAGAATTAGTGCTGCCAGTGCATGGCTCAGAATGGCAATTGGATACTTGTATCATTTTGTGCTCACGCTGGTGAAGTGGTCTCCTTCATCCTGATGATATGCCAAGATTGAGGATTTTATTTCAGGCAAGGTGTTAAATGAATCCTGAATGTTGGCGAGCCCGTTGCCTGTGGTGGTGAGATGTCCCAGCAACCTAGGTACATGTGCAGGAGTGTGAACTATATTTGTCAGCAACACTGGTGTCCTGAGCTGCTTCATAAAGTAGCATTTTGTAGCTTCTAGATATGGTATTCTGTGCCCACCGAACAGTCACGTGAGATGGCATTGCAAATACCAGTGAGCCTATCATCGGCAATATATGTACTGGGAGACCTGTGATATGCAGTGTTGATCGTTTTCGTAATAGAGTCCCAGAAACCAGTGTCACTGACTCTGGCATATGTTAATATGACATTGTGTGAGCCAACCAACATGAAATATCTCAGCAGCATCCTGAGTCTTGTTATAGGATATATTATGAGGCCCACAGATCTTAGTATTAAGCCAAACAATCCGAGAGAAAAATGTCACCGCTCATGCCTATAGAATCCCATTTCGGCAGGGAGTATGGTTGGTGTTCTTGTTGATCGGCCAACTGTGGTCCTGTTACGACGTGTGTCGCGTGCGAACTGGGATAATCTAACAGCGACGATCACGACAGTGATACCTCGTGCTGAGAGTCCGAGGTCGGCTCCTACAGAAGAGCAGGAGTTGCGTACGTTCACGGAGGCGAACGATGATAGCGAGTTACAGACAGAAGGGTTCTCAAGTCCTTCCGAAGGTACGGATCTGATGTCGAGCAGGTAGCTTTAGCAGGACAAAGGTTTCGATGGTAAACCCAGTAGGATTAAAGTAAGGAACATCTACTTTAATCCGTCGACCTTATATAAGGCTACTCTATCGTATCTAAGCTCAGCCTGAAGCTGGGTTCTAAGTGCTTATCTATCGAGTCAGAGATACCATGCATGAGGTAGGCTTCTATCTATGATAAGGACCGCGAGGCGTCCTTCTATCAGTACATGAGGCAACACGAGGCTTGCCTTCTATCTTGATAACATATATAGGTCTTCTAGACCTATGTCGTCATATCATGTAAGCGATCCAGATCGCTTACCTAATCCGGCATCTTCCGGACTTCTCTTCTATTTCGTCATCTTTTCGTTATCTATCATCAAGGCCCAAGGGCCCGGGTATCGTATCGTATCGTTGCCGTGCGAGGTGGCAGAGGGCAGGTCGTGTAGCTGGGGGCTCACGTAGTGACTGTAACATTACCCCATTACTACGCACAAAGTCACCGACTTTGTATATCATCAAACATCTTCTTCCATCGTAGCGGCGGGTAGTGCAGGAATTGCTATCGTGGATGTAGAAGGTGCGGAGGGAGTTTCGGAGGCAAGGGAAAGTTCGGTGGGATGCCGAAGTTCTAGATCCGCAAGTGCCTTGTGGTTGTGCTCCCAATCTAAGAGAGCTTCGAAAAACTTCTCTTCATCGCTAAACTCTTGGAGTACGATGCGTCCGTTGAGTCGCGGGCAGTGGACCGACAGATGGTCAGGTCCTAGTTCATCGCAGATGCAACAAACATAATCTGGACATCTTCTGAACTGATGTCCGTATCCTCCGCAGCGCCTGCAGAGCGTGGTGCGGGTTCTTCTATAACGGGCTTCGCTTCGACTTTCTTTATCGCGAGGTCTGTGGTATCGGAGAAGTCGAGGGGGAGTAAGTGAAGCGCGAAGTTTCTGATCCGCCGTTGCAGATGAAGTATAGCAAGTCTACGAGTTGCTTCATCTAGGTCAACACGATTGGCTACATCTTCCAGCAGCTTCGTGGTTCGTATAATGCAGACGGTGAGGGAGGTACTCGCTGCAGTTCTGGCGTCTTGGTCACCAAGGATTTCGTCGATCGCTTGGGAGTACGCGGGGGTCAGGATAGCGGCTTCGTTGAACGCGCTATTTTCTGTCATTCTGAGGACTACTCCGTAGTCGGAGTCCTTCAGTGCATTCTTGATAGAGGCGTTATCGATGGAGTTCGTCATGATGATGATGATGGAGGTTCGTGGGAGAGATGTTCGAGGATCGAGAGGGTTTATAACCTTCTTCCAGATCAATCCAAGCTCCGTTTCAATCTAAACTTGTTATCGTTATCGTTATCTCTTATCGTCTTATCTAGCCATGAGGCTAACTCGTGTTCGAGATTCTTCTTCGCTATCAGAGGGAAAGTGCCGTGATAGGTACTATCATCCTTTATCTTTGTTGAAAGATCAGGTCGTCATCAGAGGGTGGTCGTCATTGCCATGATGGGTTCTAGAGGGTTCCATGGGCTTGCAGGAGTTTCCGTGGAGTTCGTCTCGTGATAGTTTAGCCTCGTTCCGGAGGTCTAGTCTTCTTATCTTCTGTAGAGATCTATTTCTAGATTCTTTATTCAGATGTCGAAGGTACGGGTCCGAGCGTGGGTGCCAAGGCTTGCAGGAGTTTCTTGGGGTCGTCCAGCAGGGAGGTCGTCTTCTATTACCCTTTGTTTACATACGTGGTCAACTCGGGTGGTCGAAGTGCAGTGATGTGAGGGGTCCCGAAGCTTGCAGGAGTTTTCCGGGGTTCGTCCTTGTTCATCGTCTAGTTTTACGTCATTACGGACAATCGTAGTTTAGGGTCATTCCGGACCTGCGATAGTTTTAGGTCATTCCGGACCAACGTGGAAGTTGGTCGAGTTCAGGATTCAGTGATCAGTGTTCGGGGTGGAGTAGGCGTGGAAAATAAGTAAAATGGAGGATTTCACCCCCTTACTAAGCCATTAGTCACCGACTAATCATATCCAATCAGAAGTCTAGGCCAGGGAGCGGGCCGTCGTCTTCGAAGTCGTTTCCTTCCATATCTACCATTCGCAGATCATGCGAAGAGGGTACGTTTTCGTCTTCATCCTCGTCATCCTCGGAGTTATCCATGTCAATAAATCTGACAAAACTCGGCCCGGCGTCTTCTTCTTCCTTTTTTATTTCATTCTGGCGATATGCTTCGTGGACTGAAGCGATTCGTTCGATGAAAATATCCTGGGCTTCTTGTAACACAGGAGGGAGTTCGGTATCAGAAGATAGCGTCATTGCTTCTTCGGGGTTGTGCGCGGGTGTCATGGAGAGGTTGAGGGAATTCGGCGGTTCATCGGCGGTTAAATACGCCGGTTCAGGGTCTTCCTCCATCGCGGACTCAGGACTTTCATAGAATCTGAGTTTCTTGGCGGTGGGAGGGTCTTCGATTCGGACTGCGCGTCCTTTTCCGAGAACGGATATCGGTTCTCCAGAAAATTCGAATCTCTGAGTTTTTTCTGGTTCAGGGGCCAGTCTGGGTGCCTTGGATACAGGCGGTTCTTCATTCATCATCGCACGTCCCTTCCCAAGGACTTGTGCGGGCTCTGCCGAGAATTCATATCGGGCAGGTGCGGGATCTTCATCAATCTTCATCGGCTGAACAGCCGGTACGATCGTCTTCTGTCTTGGCGGTTCGGGATAAATGTGGTCAGATATCAGCGCCGGTCTGGAAGTCTTCTTCTGAGTTGTCTCCGGATCAGTGGCCGGTTTCTTCTGTTCATATCTTCTTGCTGCAAGGTCAATTCTTGGCAGCGAATCTTTCTTCGTCACAGTTTTCGTGGGCTGTGGTACGGGTTCTGAAGTTTCGACGGGGATTCCGTCCTGTGGCTCTTCGTGGACCGGTGCAATTCGTGTCGTTCGGGCTAGTGGTACTGTGCCCGAAGAGAAGGTACGGGGAGTTGTCGGGGATACCGATCGTTTTCTCTTCTGTGTCACCTTCTTTTCTTCTTTCAGGAAGAGGGGCGTCTTGCCGTTCTTCTTCCGATCAGAATCTATCTCATTCTGCTTCTTTCGGGATTCTGCGGTACTTCTGAGAGTTACCGCGCCGGTTTTCCAGTTGATTGCGGGGTTCTGGCTTGTGAGCCAAGGTCGTCCAAGCAAGAACTTGTCTTTCGGACCAAGTTCGGCTAGGTAAAACCTTTCGGTCATTACCCTTTCGTCTATTTGGAAAGTAAGGTTGCAAAACCTTTCTATCGGCTTCGTTCCGAAGCAGGATCCGTCAGCGTTCGAGAATCTTAAAGGGTTCTCTAGCTGGTGCGTCGAGATGCGGTGCTGCGTGATTACGTCCTGGTTGACAAAGGACTCACACGCCCCAGAATCTACGATCATAGATGTCGTGATGGGGTTGCTTCTCGTTCTGGAGATCAGGGTGGCGTTCACCCGTATGTCCTCCTTAGCCCCGGCTTTCTTGATAGCGCGCAGGGGTTCTTCTTCGATCATCTTTCTCCGTGAGGTTCGGGTCCATTGAGGACAGCTCGCGGCTTTGTGTCCGATGACGTGGCACACAAAACATTTCTTCTCTCGCAAACAAAGGCGAGTCTCCTTCCCGGTCAGATGCGAGGCGGCGAAGGTGTTTCTGGTAGTTGCCATATTGGAGATGGGTTCTACGATCTTCGTGGTATCCTTTTCTTGGAGCTTTCCACAGTGACGGCGGTTCTTATATTCTTGCGACTGGTCAGGCCGGTACGATCAGGGTTCTAGATCAGGGATATGAAAATCCTTTCGGGATCTAGGTTCGGGGTTCTACGAGTGTCAGTAACGTTGACAGCAAGTGCAATCAGTTATCTTGTAGCCTGTGATGGAGGCGTACAGTAAAGGGACTTTAATCCTTTGTTACGACGTGTGTCGCGTGCGAACTGGGATAATCTAACAGCGACGATCACGACAGTGATACCTCGTGCTGAGAGTCCGAGGTCGGCTCCTACAGAAGAGCAGGAGTTGCGTACGTTCACGGAGGCGAACGATGATAGCGAGTTACAGACAGAAGGGTTCTCAAGTCCTTCCGAAGGTACGGATCTGATGTCGAGCAGGTAGCTTTAGCAGGACAAAGGTTTCGATGGTAAACCCAGTAGGATTAAAGTAAGGAACATCTACTTTAATCCGTCGACCTTATATAAGGCTACTCTATCGTATCTAAGCTCAGCCTGAAGCTGGGTTCTAAGTGCTTATCTATCGAGTCAGAGATACCATGCATGAGGTAGGCTTCTATCTATGATAAGGACCGCGAGGCGTCCTTCTATCAGTACATGAGGCAACACGAGGCTTGCCTTCTATCTTGATAACATATATAGGTCTTCTAGACCTATGTCGTCATATCATGTAAGCGATCCAGATCGCTTACCTAATCCGGCATCTTCCGGACTTCTCTTCTATTTCGTCATCTTTTCGTTATCTATCATCAAGGCCCAAGGGCCCGGGTATCGTATCGTATCGTTGCCGTGCGAGGTGGCAGAGGGCAGGTCGTGTAGCTGGGGGCTCACGTAGTGACTGTAACAGGTCCCGCACATTTGCCGATGCCAATCAACCCTCACTGGTAAGCATTCTCAAAATTTGTTCACCAATGCTATCTCCCAAGGCATACTTGCCAATGCTCATGGTTTATCGCTGGCACATATGTAAGGTTCATTCGCCGACATCATCTTCCAGGATGCTATCGCCGACGCCTATTGATTATCACCGGCACAGTGTTCTGGCTATTCCTTCATCGACCCAATTTTTCTCGCCAATGCCTTGGTAAGCATTCTCAAAATTCATTCACCAATGCTATCTCCCAAGGCATACTTGCCAATGCTCATGGTCTATCACTGGCACATACCTAAGATTCATTCGCCAACATCATCTTCCAGGATGCTATCGCTGACGCCTATTGATTATCGCCGGCACAGCATTCTGGCTATACCTTCACCGACCCATTTTTCTCGCCAACACTTATTGATCATCGCCGACACAGTATTCTGGCTATCCCTTCGCTGACACATTTTTCCAGCATACACTCGCCGATCATTATAGACCATGGGCCCACTCGAAATGGGTCAGGGCTAACTTCTCCATTCTGCTGTAGGCCCACTCTTCAATACAGTTGAGTATTAATCTGGCACCCATGGGCCCACTCCAAAACTCAGAGGCTCATCCACTGTGGGCCCAGCCCTGACTGTAGGGTACAATGCATTCACCGGCCCACCCGTGGCTATGGGATGACAATCTAATGTGGGCCCATGGTGGGTTGGCCCAACTCCTAAGGAGCATTGTCAAGGTGGGCTGGCTGACTCTATAGGGCCAAGCCACTGAAGGGACTCTTTGAATTTACGACAGCACACCATATGTGCAAACGAGTCTGAAAAGATTGAATATATGTGCTTCAATATGTGTTGCTCCAAATTGTCCTCAATGGGCTCAGATAAGAGCACTGCTGAACAAATACTAGGAAGGATGGACAAAATACCATCATGATGGTCGAAGTCAAATTCAGCCCTCATCTTGATTTCGATGAAGTGAATCTTGTAAAATGATAGTATAAGTGATGATTCATCTTAGAACATAAATTTAGACTTACCAGTATCTCAACTGGCAAATCCAAGTAGTCAAGGCGGGACATATGGTCCTTGTTGAGTTCTAGTGACAACATTTGACAGTAGTGTATAAGTGGGAGGGTGAAATGAAAGCATTGAAAGCTTGAGGCAACTTGTTTTTGAAATTTGGACTAGTGCATTATCTAATTATAGATACCACAAAGACTTATTACGCTCAATACCAATATCATTGAAAGTAATATGTCTGGGTAAGGATGCAAACTTCGAAATATATGTAGCCATATAGTAAAGTAAAGTATGTGCTATATGATGAAGTATGTATAATGGACAAAGATGCAAAATCTGCTTCTTGTTGGCAGCTGCCAATGAAGATGCAATACTTTCACCCATGGCTTGGGTGACCCACCAATAATCAGTGGTAGTATTGTGTTCTCATCAGTAGTGTGCCATGTCACACACCAATGTTGCCAATGAGGACACAATACTATCAGTATCCGAGTCATGGTGGTGGCACACTGCCAATGAGGACGCGATACTATCAACATTGGTGTGTGGTGGTGTGACACTGCCAATGAAGATGCGATAAAGTTTCATCCATGGCCCGGGTGATCTACCAACTTATTGATAGTATTGCATCCTATGTAATGGCACATTACCAATGAGGACACATTACTATCAGTATTGATGGTGGCACACTGCCAATAAGGACGCAAATACTGATAGTAATGTATCCTCATCAGTAGTGTGCCATTACATACCCATGACTTGGATACTGATAGCATTGTGTCCTCGTTGGCAGTGTGCCACTATCAATACTGATAGTAACACATCCTCATTGGCAACATTGGGTGTGGCATGGCACACTATCAATGAGAATGTGATACTACTGCTAATACTGATAGTAATGCGCCCTCATCGGTAGTGTGCCATTGCATACTCATGACTTGGATACTGATAGTATTGCATCCTCATTGGCAGTGTGCCACGATCAATACTGATAGTAACACGTCCTCATTGGCAACATTAGTGTATGGCATGGCACACTGTCGACAAGAACGCGATACTACCACTGATACTGATAATATTGTGTTCTCATTAGCAGTGCGCCACCACCAACTTGAATATTAGTAGTATCGCGTCCTCATTGGCAGTATGTCAAGGCTGAAAGTCTCTATAGACAAACTTCAATTACTGTCTATTAGCAAGTACATTGTAGTCCTGCTGCTGTACAAGGTGTGATATAGTATTTGCAAGTCTTGAAGCTTCATCATATAAGTCACCATTCTCATCATCATCGTCCTCATCATCCAAATCTACAATGAGAGCCTGCTTGTGTAGTGAGTGTGGTGGCAGTCCATTGTAGCCAGTCAGCTGAGAAGTTTTATATAGATGCATGTGATGGAAATTATTGATGTGATGCCATTCTGCACATTGTCTTTCCAACACTGCGAACAGCATCATTGAGCCCTCATCTTGCAAGGAATTAATTGTTGACAATATCTGCTGGTCCTTAAACTGAACCCATGCTCCAAGGCAACCTATTTCAACATCTAGCCAAGTGATTGCTTCATGGGAGCACAATACTTTGAAAAACTTGACTGCCATCTCTCAGTTTTCCAGTACAGCCCATGGTTTCATCATAAGATTGTGGTGAGAGTACTTTAAGAGATCAAATTCACCAAGAGATGCATATCCTATGACGTCAGTGTAATTGAGGGTGGGGTGTGGTGGAACTTGGAGTGGCACCAAGCTGTTGTACTTTTCAAGCGCTGTGCCAATAGCTCCAGATCATTGTGTGATGGCTTTAGAAATATATTTGTGCATTTTGTATCCTAGTGGAGACTTGAGATTGAAGATTCAAAATGACAATAAAACAAATAAATGTACCTGTGCTGGAGAGATTCACCTTAGACAGTTCAAACATGTGTTGCACCACTAGGCCCTCTATTTCTTCAACTACATGCACAATGTGTCATTGGCCTGAGTATTGATGTGCCTGTTGATATTGAGGGTCTGACGCCTCCCAGCATCTATTGATTTCATGGCAGCGTTCAAAATCTCCAACAACATTCATTTGTAAGTGAAGGTGTCATAATGCAGCAAGAAGGTTTGCTTCAGCAGTTCTGGAAGACTGACGAGCTTCAGAATTAAGACCCGACAATGATGTAAAACTTGCTGGGGTGTACATGAGAAATGGCACATCCATCATACTGCCATACATCACTCTAGAAGGATGATTAGCATATAGTTTAGTTTAGTGATCATAAAGCAGGTCACTAACTCTGCACGCTGGAGTTTTCCAGCTCTTCAATGTATGCTACTGCGATGGCATCTGACGGTGGTTCAAGGGCAAGGTTTGTAAGGAACTCAGATTCATCTTCTCTCCATTGCAGGAAGGCATCATCAGTCAAAGATTTGTGTGTCTTGAACTCATTGAGCAAAGGAGTGTATTCATCTATTATGCGAAGTGCTTGGACATAATTGTTGTGTAAGAAATTACCTTACAATGACTTAGCATAGCGCCGTAATTCAAATCTAAAACACTTACTCAACTCAAGATATTTGTCTTTGTCCCATTGGTCAAAATGCAGATCAAGATATTGAATCCAATAAAAGTATGAAGCATGCTGAATGAGCCCACAGGCACAGTTAGAACTTGAAAAAATTTGTTCACATGTTTTGAGATCTTCAATGCCAAAACCCTCAAGATACAAAGGGTGATGAGCCAGCTGACAGCGACGGTTATGAGCATAGCCATGAAATGCATTGATGGCAATGATAAGATTGGGTTCCTGAGCTTTGGTGCTGATTGAACTGGAGGCAACAGTTTTGCGTGAGGTACAGCCAATATCGTGACCCAGCCCCTGGTCTTTCCCACAGACGTCGAGCATGCAATTGATAGCAGCAAGACCATATTTTGCACTAATGTGAATTTTAATTGAAGTGTATTGAGACTTAAAGAAAAACTCACAGTTCTCCACTATGCTTCATCTCAGTAATACACTCTATGAACCCATGCCGGCAGGCCATGACAAAAATACCTGTTTGTTCAAACACCAAAACCTTATTTTCTTCAATGGACCTGGCAGCTGTCCAATTTTCTGTACAATTGTCATCCGGGTTACCCGAGTAGTCTATAGGTTGGCTCTGAACATCGGACTTGAGCTGTTCCACTGCAGCATCTGAGAGAAAGAAGTTGCTTGTGGAAATACAGGGTCTGTGGATCCAGAGCCATCAATACATTTCACTGAGTGATTTCCGTCCATGCTGTGCAATATTTGAGGGATGAGTTTGGGTTCGTCTGATTGCTGATTTGAATCAATATCAGTATGAAGTGCATGTGACGTGCTAAAAGATTACCTCAAATGTGCAAGACAGACATGTGCCATTCATGCGCCAGTTGATTGGATCCCTGCCAAGAGCACAGTCGACTTGTGAACAAATGTTGTGCAATATTTCAAGATAGATGTCGAAGGTGGTTGAGAATTGAGCCTGAAATTATGACGAGTATGTTACCTGCAAGTGGCCCATCAGTAACATGAATTGATCCAGCTGATATGTAGCTTACGTTGTGAAGAGCACACAAAACCTTAGTAATTGTTTGAATGTCAAATGAAGATTGGCAGCGGTGTATTTGATAGTATAGTTCCAAGCACTCAAGTCTGACAACAACAGTAGGCTGGACTGGGGAGCATCCAAGAAAACCATAGTGCAGTAGTGCTGCATTTGCCACCTCATCATGTTGTTGTTGGATGCATAAGCAAGGGGAAAAATCTATGAAACAAAGTGAGAAGGATAAACACCAGTTGTTCATGACCTACCCATTATGCCCACTCTGCTCACAGTGAAAGTGTGGTGACTAGGATCTTCAGCACAACAATTTTGAGGTTCATGTTTCCAGCGTAGATATGCTTCAACAAGAGTAGGTATCTGCTGTGTCCAAGCAGTGTTAGCAAGATAGTTATGCTGAGTACGAGTCCATTTGTCTTGCTGACAATTTGAAACAGCCCTGGTAGTAGTGTTAGCAAATATAATTCAAGAGTTAGGGCACTTACCATTGTGAAGCTGATGTTCGAAGAAACTCAGAGAACAATGGACCATCTACATTTTCTTTGCCATCATTATCTACCCATTGCTCTCCTGCATCTTCATTGTGGAACATTGATTCATCATGGTCATTGTCAACATAGTCAGGTCCTGCCTCAAGGTGGGCTTCTGCAAGCAGTGTTCACATATGCAGGCTGTTTTCTTCTATAGAAGTTGAGAGAAGGAGACAGTGAGTCATAAGCATGCACCTCTTATTTGTTCTGCTCGGCGCTGTTGTTCTGCCAAACACTCATACCTGATCTGTGTTAAGGAGGCAGTGCTGGTACATGTAGAGTGAGAGTTGTTGTTGAGAATGATCATCTTGACCTGCGAGGATGATGCAGTGACAGTGATGGTGGGGGAGAGAAGGTAGTGCCTGTTGGCGGTTAAGTCCCAATACTGAACAATAAAAATACTTACCATATACACATATAACTACATATATATCAAAATAAATGAAGTTGCAGAAAGAAACATTCAAAAATGGTTGAGTTTGAAGGGTATTTCATGCTCATCGTGCCCAGCAATGAGCATGAAGGTTTGAAGGACATGGGAAAAGGTGAGGAGGTGTCGGGAAGTAGTGACCATATGTTGCCAGCAGTAACTTCCGCTCTCAGCTTTGTCCGATAACTAATATTCTACCCATACCTAAGTTACTGCCAAGTGCTGCAGAACTCGCTAAAGTACCGCAGCATAGACTTTCCCCCCTAGTTAGTGACAAACATCGCATCACATGTTCATTACTAATTAGTAACACTAATGGTGTCACACAGGTGAGCCCACAAGGTGTACAAGGTGACCTTGTGCAGTTTGTACAAGCCTGTACAGCAGGGACTTATCTGTGGGATTGTGAGGCTTGTACAAACTTGTACAAGGGCCCACTAGTTTGCTGATGGAGCTTTTAGTGTGATTTTCATGACCTCAACAGTCTTAGCGACATGCTTGCGAGACAAATTTTGTACCAAATCTCTAGATTTCATTGTTGTGCACTCGGGAAATGGTATCCAATGAACCCAGAAGTGATCATAGGTTGGGTGAAGAGCTTGTTGTTGCAGGAAATTTCATCGAGTCAGAATGCAGCCTTATGAAAACAAGATACCAAGATAGCAGTCAAATTTCTCCAATTTTGTTGGCATGCCCTGGACACCATAAAATGGATCATCTTTCATTAAAGAATCATAGCATTTGGAGCAGTGGTTGTTGAGAAACAATTGTTTGATGCTATGTATTGAAAGGGCTGAAAAAGTGGTGTTTCAGCAGCTGTGCCAACTGTTTTGAAAATGGCAGTAATTACTCACATCTTTTCCTTCCTGTTTCATCACAAAAATTGCTCAGCCTAGACACTACCATACATAGGTATATCTGCAGTGTCAACACTGTCAACAATGTCAGGGTTAGGGTCTATTATGTCTAAGCAGACTTGGAACCTGAAATGTCTAATGGATGGAGCATGTACGACGTGTTCCAGGCAAATATATTCTTATCTCAATTAGATTATTCAGACATTGTAAATCACACAGAGATATTCAGTTTAAGTCAGATATTGATTATCATCATGAGAGTACAAAGTATTGCAAGGTGCTACAATGTAAGAAACCTGCTGCGCCAGCAGGATATCACTGAATGAGAGAATACTGAGCTAGCATCAAAGACAATGTAACAAGAGCACAACACCAAAAGTCCCAGTGCGAGAATGAGTGCAACAAGGCAAAGTCCAATTTGGAAATGGAGTGATTCGAGAAGCGGTCGCCGAGCCTCTCCAAAGTGGTTGCCGAGTGCTACCCTCTTCTGTGTTAAGGTTGAGCACAGCAAACTTCACATGTGTATGTCAGGCCCATTTGAGAGGTTATGGCGGTCAGAAAGATAAAAGACTAAGATGAAAACACATGTCTATGTGCTGGGACAATGTTGAGTGCTGTTGGTATGAGGACTATGGTTGGTACTGGGGGATACGCAGCAGAGGAATAGCATGATATGAATCCACCATTTGGAGTTGTTGATGCATTTTGCTTTGTCACTAGCTCATTCTGGCTGCCGAGCAACATATAGTGCCTATAGTTAAAACTTGGGATACCAGCCATTGAGAACATAGCCTCCAAACAGACATACCTTCTTGTCATCTAGTGCAGGAACTTCAACAACAGGAGGACTGGGGCGAGAGAAAGTACTAGGCACTATGTATTGCTGGAGTTTGACATGTTCATCAGCATTTGGTTGAATATGGTGGAAGCTTTGGGTAAGGTGAGTGAGGAGTGCACGTGGATGTGATCCCAAGGACAGTGCAAAAGCATTGTGGAGGTGATGTAGAGAGGGATCAGGATGGGTAGTGGAAGACTGAAAAAATGAAAATCAGAATAACTTGTGCAGGTAAATGGTGGTAACACACTGGATCAGGGACTTGCACATTATCAAAAAAGCCTGGTGGCACTTGATGTGGGGCTGGATGGGTGGATGTCAGGTAGCATTGGCCTGAAATATTAATGTTACAATCAACATCAAGATCAGAAAAAGGTAAATGTACACCTGATAATGCCTTGTGTGAGTGGGATTTAATATCCATGTTCATGATACTGAGGAGGGTGTTGGGCGTGGGAGTATCTCTGTCCTTGTATTTTGCTATGGACTGGGAAGCGGAATTTTTGTCGCTTGCGGGGCCTTGTAAATTCCAATGAGGATGGTGTGGGCCGGAATTGTGAATAGAGAGTCAATGCAGCAAAAGATTGGGGAAAGGCTGAAAGTCCATTCATGAGAATTGAACAGATGACCACCAAGTCAAGTTCAGGTCATTTGATGCAGGAATAGGTGCAAAGAGAGCAGGGATGAGATGTACACGTTTACGAGGATGATAAGATGAACTATCCTGCACCCAATAAGCGAAGAGGTACCATAGTCACAATCACTGGATGATATGAGACGAGGCATGCTGAGATGGGATATGTGGACGCACCATTGTAGTAGTCAGGAACATCAGATTTTGCAGCCAGTTTGAGGAATGCCTCCACATCGTAATTAGGTGGGGTGTTCCCCCCCTAGCGATTCAACATGTTAGTGAGATAACAATGCAATACATGCACCTACCAAAGACTCCCTGCCATCATTTTAGTAGCATAATAAGTAGGACTAGGTAGAAACTCAACACAAAGAGTGGAAAAGAGTGGAAAAAATGTGCATATAATCACCTTCAGGCAAATTTATGTAGCTGCACTCCATGCAAAGATATGTATGAGAAGGGACAGACCGAGTGAGCTATTCACTTGGATGGATGTTCATGTCAAGAACTACAAATGGGAGCTACAAGGGGGATGGTAGTAGTGGGAAGAGAAGAAATGGATGGAGAAGATCAGAGGCATGATTGCCAAGAGATGGTTCAAAAGTTCAGCTTGTTGGGGCCCATTTGCACTTTCATCAGCAAAACCCTAACCCTATGTACAGCGCTGCACAACCCTGCATAGTGTCACAGCGTCACAGTGAGGTCCCCCCATGCACAGCGCTGTACAGCACTGCACAGAGCTGCACACTACACAATTTCTCAATAAAACATAATTATTAGTATACCATCTTGTTATATATATGTTTATGACTACATTACATTTATTTTTACATAGAATCAGTACTTCTGTGATGCTACAGAGCCTTTGCAAAAAAAAATATGTGACCTGTGACACGCTGTGTGGCTGTGGTGCTGTACCCAAATCAGGGTTTTGCTGATGTTGCCAAAGTTCCAAAGGGTACCAAACAAAGGACTTGGAAGAAAACTGAATGTATGTAGATCGAGGAAGGATATGGCGCACTTTGATGTATTTAGCATGCTTCTCAATTGAACGGCCAGCACATCAAATTTTCATTTTCATTTTCTGTTGCACAAAGACTTTGATTACAGTATCTATACGACATGATGTATATATTGTAGTATCTAGGATGTGTCATATAGATACAATAAGTATCTATATAATGTCGTTATGATAGTATCACAAGGTGGGAGGTATCATTCTGAGTTAATTGCTGCATTCAAATGTCGTGTCGAGGACTCGAGGTGTTGATGACATCACACGGACTTGTTTGGTCATATGTTCAGCCACCCTACCGTCCATATCGGGTAATCTCTTAGTTGCGCAATTTTTGTGATGTTCGAGGCGCAGCCTGACACGTCTCTTTTCCCACTCAATCTTCTAACCACGCCTCTAATTCACTCACACTTCATCCCCAGGCTTCTTCCGTACATTGGCTACGTGACGATTGCCATGGTCAGCATGCATCTCTTGTTCATGCCCAATAACGCTGACCATGCTATATAGAATGATTTCCCACAACTTAAATACGCACTTCTCTGGGGCCTTGGGCTCTTGGCTGACATACAACGGGAGTAGAAATCCCTGAGGAGAGAGGGCCTTTACGCAGCGGATTCGTGTTACTTATTTCATGTATGGTGATCGCGCGCGCGCGAAATAGCAACAGTCACCTCGATTGGCGACGTTCAACATCATGATATCTGATTCCGCAAGGAGGTGACACTTTGAACACGCATCTCCCAGGTCAACGAATCTAACTCCAACATTGAAAGGTAAGTCACGACAGCACTTGAGAAATATTGGATGACGCGATGATATCACCAACGCAATTTGCAAGCCAAGTATCTAGGCAATGTGTCGCATGTATGAGTCTAGTCGAGATCTTCGAACCCTGGTCCTCAATGCAACTCAGACCACCAATATTCAGTGAGCGAAAAATTACTGTCATCAACGAGGCCGGTCCCTGTGCAGAGCAGATGCAACGTGTATCGCTCGAATGCTGACAAGTTCGAAGGGGAATACAGATGACAAGGGCGGAAGATGACAAGAAGCTGAGTGTGCGGTATACTTTGTTCGATGATTTTGATGAATAGATTCACTGAAAATATGAACAGGACATGCGTGTTTATATATATGTGGGAAATATATGTTATGAAAGCTCGAGCGGAGTGAAGGAAAAGGAAAGGAACCGGTGTGCGGTATACTTTGTTCGATGATTTTGATTGAATGGATTCATTGAAAATATGAACAGGACATGCGTGTTTATATATGTGTGGGAAATATATGTTATGAAAGCACGAGCGGCGTGAAGGAAAAGGAAAGGAACCAGTGTGCGGTATACTTTGTTCGATGACTTTGAATGAATGGATTCACTGAAAATATGAACAGGACATGCGTGTTTATATATATGTGGGAAATATATTTGAAAGCACGAGCGACGTGAAGGAAAAGGAAAGGAACCACGAGGCGAGCGATGGAAAATATCCTGATTATGATGAAAAAGAGATCCACTTTCTGCGATCTATAGCCGAACGGGGTTTACTCTTTGTGGCGGGGTAAGGAGGAGAGCTGTTAGGTTAAAAGCCGTCCAGTCAGCGTCATGAAGTATCTCGTGAGCGTTTTGACATATCATCTGATGAAATGTGTAACGTTTCTTACTCCGATGAAGAAGCTTGGACTAGGAATGGGAAAGGCACAATAGTCAGGGAAGTGTAAGTAGAACCGTAAATAAGAGATTCAGCTGACTTCAGTCTTACTAGGGAGATTGAATCATTGTCCAAGGGGTGATTGCTTATGTGAAAGTGAGTGCTGTATGTACAAGAGAGTCATCAAATAACTCACATCGTTGTTGATGGGTAAGTTGTTTCGTAAGGACACTAGTCATACACAACTCGGCGGCCACAGCTGAATGACAAGGCATTACCACAGTACCCAGCCCTGTTCCCATCATGATGTTATAAGGACCTGCTGAACCAAATACTTGGAATCCATCCTAACTAATCCTCCTGCCAGTGTCTCGAGGGTTATATATGAATTCTGTTCATTCTCCCGTACTAGTCGTAAGTGACCTACTTGTGATACATGTTTGCATCTCAGCTGAATTCCTTGCCATTAGGTTGGTGCTGGGCCAGTGGGTCTGGTAGCAGCGTTGACGCTCCTTCAAAACGGTATCCCGGTCCGCATCATCGATAAAGACCACCACCCCCGCATGGGACAGCGTGGTGCTGGAACATGGGTTTGTCGCACATCTACTTGTCACACCATCCCGTGGTCTCATTGAATACATGCTCTATGTAGTCACGCTCCCTCGAAGTCTACAATTTCCTGGATATTTCAGAAGTCAATAGTCTGGGAAAATCAGCCCTTCCCGGCCGTTCGTACAAGCCTGGGACATTGGAACCTTTGAAAGACTCATCGATGTTCCCGCATCTGGAACCTACTTCAACGATACCATTCGTGCGTAACACCATCGCTTAATCAAACCTTCATGCTGATTCAATTTTTAGCATGCCCCCAAATTGATGGGTCAACAACTCCTAGATGTGATTCTGCGACGCCATCTAGAGAAGTTTTCTTGTTCTGTTGAGATGGGCACCGAATTGCGCTCATTCGAACAATGCGATGAGGGCGTCACTGCTATTCTAGCAAAGAACGGCATATCAGAGACTTTTGATACGAAGTGGATCATCGGCGCTGACGGTGCTAAAAGTGAGGCGCAGTTTAATCCCTTGGATGAACGACACTGAATGTGTTTTTGCAGGCATAGTGCGCAAGCAACTTGGACTCACATTTTTGGGTGAGAGTAGAGACGATACCCGGCTTGTGACTGGGGATATCCGTTTGACGGGCGTTGGCCTCGATAGAGTGGTACGTCCGGTTTCTATAAATTCGATGAAATGCTATCCTAAACCAGTCTTGAAGCATTGGCACCTGTTTGGAAACTTTAATGAACGAGGGTATGTTCACTTGAGGCTTGGAGATGTGTATATTGACGACATGCAGCCTCTCACTGCGTGCAACAGATGAAATTGCCGAGGATGGCTGGCAATTTTACCTTTACGGCCGCGAACTAGACCCCACGAAGATAGCTGAGAGCGAAGAGCTTGTCTTTGAGACCATCGCATCGTTAATACCAACGAAGATTACATTCAACAAGGTGGTCTGGATGAGTGACTTCCGGTACGTTCTGTGTCCCTGTCTGTGTGGATACACGTTCATCAATTTGTTCCAGGGCTAATATCCGGATGGTGAATAAGTTCAGCAAGGGTCGAGTATTTGTTGCGGGTGGTATGTAGTTCTGTTTGAGATGTTGTAGCTGTACTCATACATGTCGCCGTAGATGCTGCTCAGTATGTCTATCTTTGAGTGCCCTCTTTGTAAATTGCTGCTAACATATCCAAGTGTCCACAGCCCAACGGGCGGTCAGGTATGATTGATCCGATTGTTGCTAATACTTGCTCATTTGTCTATGGACAGGGACTCAATTCAGGTGTACAAGATGCAGTAAGTGGGGTAGATGCAGCATGTGTGTTATGACTGACCGCGTCTTACACCAGTTCAATCTGGGATGGAAGCTTGCGCTTGTCCAGAAAGGGCTCGCCGACAAAGCTCTTCTCGAGACATACAGCGCAGAGCGTCTGCCTGTGATCTCCGAGATGCTCAAGATGACCACCTCGATTCTCGACAAGGCAACAGCGTCTGGGGACCTGTCAGCCGGACGAAATCCCATCCTTTACATGCTCGGCATCAACTGCCGATTCAGCACCATCGTACTCGATGAATTTGTTACTTCAGTTGAGGGGAAGCCCATCAACGCATATGGTGTGCTTGATGAGGGGCATCTGGACGCCGGAGATAGGGCGCCTGATGCGCCCAATATGTTGCGGGTGGGGGGCGCAGAGCTCAACACAACGACGCTTTTCGGTCTGTACAGACCTTGGTACCACACAATGCTTGTATTTGCGCCGAGTCTTGCTGATGCTACCCCGATCTTGGGTGCACTGGAGGCATACGACAAAAGTGTTGTACGATCGGCAGTCGTTCTGCCATCATCGGCATCAGTGACGTCTGTCGCGTCCCCTGACCTCGTCCTTGTTGATTGGGAGGGGTATGCTTATTCGGCTTACCTCGTGGAAGCCAGCCAGACAAAGGTGTTTGTGATACGGCCGGACGGAGTGATTGGGGCGATAGTTCATGGTACAGAAGGCGTGAAGAAGTATTTCTCAAAAATATTTTTGGATGCGTAGTGGTCAGAATATTCGTTCTTTATTTACTATTTTTACAAGCACGGCTCATTCCTGTATGCCTCCGAGTCATGCGATGTAGTGAGTGTATCATATTTGTAACTGTAAAAGCGATACGATCGACCGAGAACCACGCACCAATGTGCATGACACTTTCGCGCAGGTCACTATGACGCAAACAGTTCAACCATCACTTGATCCTAGGCCTGTTCATGCATAAGTTGATTGTCACTTGCAGCCGAGATTATGATGGCAAATGGGATCGACAAGTGCACTGAGGTGCAATGTAATCTTTTGCAATGTCATTGTTATAGGGACATCAGATGTGAAAATCCCGCAGAGCCGGCAACCCACAATAGTTCTGGACTGACCACTTCATTTCATACTCGTCTTATAGCTGTACTATGCCTGTCCTTGTTACATTCACGGACCATAAGTATAGATACATGGTTTTACATGTAGTATGCTCATATGTCGCCTATTGTCAAGTATGAAATTTGTTTTGCGCTGAAACATCCCCAAACGGTGTTGAACTTAAGTGTAACTAGTACTACATAGTGTCATATCCCTTGTGGAGAAATTGGTGGTGTACTGATGTGACCTGCGAGTCCTATCATAAGATATATCACATCCTGTCATCATGTGTTGTTTTGAATTTTTGAACCAAGGTCTGCATGTTGCTGATCTGATCCGAGTCTGACTATGTGTTATGATGTTATCCAGCAACAAGTGAAAATTATGCATTTCCCGTCGAGTGATAGTCTGCCATGCACTTAATGCGGACTTTGGCAATGCATTATTAGTGAACACTCCTCAGGCCTCAGTACTCAAGCTTCAAGGTCTGAACGACGCAACACAAATTTAGACATTGAAATTACTCCTCACGTCTCTTCAAGTCAGTCAATATGGAGCATTCTCAAAAGCACCTTCATTGCCCATTGGAACAGGAAAAACTGTCCATACTCTAGGAATAACAACCACATTGACCAAGTCAGCAACGAACTACGGACTGTGCTATCAGCCACAACACCAATGCGAAAGCAGAAATACGCCTCGTTATCCAGATGTGGTCACGGACAGGCTGCTAGCCCATCGGTGAGCAGTCTAGCAATCATTGCACCCTTGGTACTGGGTAAGCTATTGACATTGTAGGAGGTAAGAGGTAATCAATAAGGTTGAATCCTGGATGCAAAGCCAACTACCCATACTCACTCTCGTCACAATACAGCACAAGTAATCACAGCAATCATCGTAAGTCTTGCAGGGCTCGGATTGTTGACTACATGCAGTGACAGACATACATGCTGCCCAAGCACTGATAACGACGACCGGGAAGGAGAAATGCATGATTTATGTGAAGTGATACAGGTGCTTTGCAGATGGAACTCTGAACGTGGACACGGCCTGCTTTTATATCCTAAGAATAGAGTTTTGGTAAAAGTGAGTTGAAATTTCTATTGGTTTGGCAGATTGGTTGCGCCTGGATGACAGAACTACAGGGTGGATGATATGAAGAACCTAGCAGAGTCCCAAAATCAACAGACAAACAACACAGAATTCAAACACATCAGGTCACCGTTCCAGATATCCCGGGAGAATACTACAAACGATGTGTTTGTGCAATCAACGCTATTCCTTCCTGTAAAGTTACAAATTCCTCGCTTGATAGTTACTCATACCTTTTGCCACATAGTCCGAGTGCTTTGCTTTGATTCCTGACTTGTTTATAGTCGAGGGCGCCATATGCTGTGAGCGTGGTCTATAGATTGGTTTTCAAAGTCCGCTGAGTTTGATAAATCGCGTCTCTACACGTGCAGCACCACGATCTTTATTCACAGTCACATAGTTCCTATTTCTGTTTTCTCATACGACTCCTGTCAACCATTGCCCATTATTGATCTTGGCGTGCATCCGTTTGGTGATCATCGCGCTCTATCTACAGCTATCAGCGGCAATTAAAATTTCCCCTCAGCGCACATGCTAAAGGCCGCTGTTCTATATTTTTACGAGAGCCAGGACAGCGCCCTGCTTGACGTGAGTAATATCAGCCTCTGCGACGTCGGATTTTGTTGATGGAACACCTACTGTTTAGTTCATCGGTGACTGTCATTACTGGGAACACAGATGCGGGCCATGAACGATTCGCCACATACGTGACAAGCAACATGGTCTCTTTACCCCACAGCATTTTCAGTCAGTCCTGGATCGATGTTCGGTCGGCCATCCTGACCAGGCTGTGGCTCTCACCAAGCTCGCGTGGGCCCGCCTTGAAGGCTACTTCCAAACGGTAATCAAGACAGACTCTATCATTTCTCACGAAGCCCTTGCATTGCATCCGCCAGGCTACTCTGATCGTCCATTATTTATCTATCACCTCCTCAATGGAATCTGTGCAACTGTCCTGCAAGCTAGAGAACAACAGCATCACGGCAGGGGCAAGTGGCGTTGATTGTGTGATCCGTGAGTGCAACAGTTTTCTAACAACGCATCCGATGAAGGCATCCATCTTCAATGTGTCGTGCTCGAGCTCTGTTCTCTGGGCAACCAACGCCGTCCCAGAATCCTCTATGAGCTTGCAGATGTAGTAAAAAGACGCTTTGAATAACACGGTAGCATTGGTCACCTAGTAGACGAATGCATACAATGTCGTCATGCAGCCGTTTTTCTCTGCTCTGAGAGACATTCTGAACACGAAACCTACCTGAATAGCTTGGCCTTGTCACTCGATTACCGCTCGGATCACCGAGGCAACTCTCATGACCTCAATGAGGCCATTTCTTTGTATGAAGAAACCCTGTGCCTGTGCCGTGCTGGGCACAGATCTCGTGATCCCTTCAAGTGTTGAATAACCCAGGACTCATCCTCGACCGTTTCAACCAACGCGGTGATATTTACGACCTCATGAGAGCCATCAGCCTTTATTGGTAGGCACTGACACTGTCCACCTGGGAATCGATATCATAATCACACGCTCAATAACCTCGTTGTCACGCTTCAACACAGATACGACAAATTGGATACCAGCGAGGATCTCAACAGAGTCATCTACCTGTGCCGAGAATCACTTCAGTTAGAGCACCATAGCCTCCTCAATCGCCGTTTAACTCTTTGCAGTTTAAGCTCGGCGCTCTGTTCTCGTTTCACGTAAACTCAGAGGAATGGAGAGGTCGAGGAGGCCACTCAAGTATTCTTTTCAGCTACTCTTGGTTGCGGGAAGCATATCTGTCTCGCTACAGAGTGCAACGCAAGTCTGCTATTTGTCACTCGCTGTCGAGAACTTCAGATTGGCGTCAAGACACCCTATTCAAGGTTTTCGGTATCGACTTCAAACAGCTCTGTGCTCACAACCGAGAATTATCAGCCCCGGAAGCATACCAAATATGCTTGGAGCTTTTCACATGACGTGCTCCAGTCCACAAGTTCAATTCTAGCTCGCAAGATCTCAGAGCTTAGGAGGAGCCTTTCTGATGTTCGGGGTTCCACCGGCAGCGCTGCCCGAGCTGCTGCTGATCGAGCAGCAAATCATTCAGTACAGGAGACTTTAGGAGTAATGCGGAGCGGTGGTAATTTTCTAGGTCTCTGGCGGTTCCTGCTTCTGCCGTCATATACAGAGTTGCAAGCGGCAGTACGTCATGGCCCAGTCATCGTCCGCATTGCGAGTCAATACTCGTGCAGTGCCATCATTGTCCTGACGTCAGGAGAGTCTCGTCACGTTCGCTTCCTGCGCATCACTCTCACACATCTGAAGAGGTTCAAGAATGACTTTGTCAGAAAGATTCGACTTACTTGGAATTCTTCACAAGGCTTTGGGGACGTCGTTGTCATCTATCTCACCTATGCCAGGGGCTCATGCTAGCGAGATGGTGACGCGTATCAGCCACACCAACGCGCTTATGCACGACGGCAAAGGCCACGGTTTACGAGAGGTAATAGATATGTCTAGATTGTCCAGTGTTTAGCTACGGCTTTTAATTGAACAGAGAACGTACTACACCCAAGCTTCATTAACGATCACCCTCGCTCAGGGCGTCATAGGCGTAAAACAAGAGTAAGCACGCCTTGGCTAAGTGCCTTAAGGCGTGATGCGAGATATACAATAAGTAGACTTTGTATACCGAACAAGCAGTCGGCGAGTCGTGCAGTGACAGTTACTGCGCATATATACAAACAACATATACCAGTAAAACCCAGAAATGTGAGACGAGGTTTCCGTTGGATTCTGCTTGACGCTTAGTAGTGCCCTCTATGGTCCGTCCTCCTTCGGAATGAGACGACGGACTTCGCTGGACGCTTGGTCCTGTTGTTGCTAGTGCCCTCCAACTCCAAGGCCCATGCCGTGTCAATCCCTGAATGTCTGGTGTCACTGACAATGCCCTGGTTGTTGTTGCCGGCAGTGTCCTGTGCATCTCCAGCGGGTAAGGTCTGGGATCTCTTGCTGTCAAGACGTTGGTATCAATTGCAGGTAAGACGCCGCACGAGCAGGATAACTGACGATGGGCACAACTTCTGGATGATGGAGTCATCATCACGTTTGGTAGTGACAGAATCTAGGACTTGACCCGAGGATCTCTCACTATCAAGTCGTTAGTATTGATCGCACTCGACATGTTGCATTGGTATAATAACTGACTATCGTTTGATATTGGCGACGTCGTCACATTTGGTAGTGACAGAGTCTAGGACTCGACCCAGGAATCTCTCGCTGTCAAGGCATAGTAGGTGTTGATCGCACTCAACACGCTGTACTGGCAGAATTGTTGACAATGGGAAAAATGCGGTATTTTCGTGGATGGTGGAGCTGTCGTCACGTTTAGAAGTGACCTGTGAATGACTAGCCTAGAACGCATTCGCTAGGTGTGCTCGGTGTCTGTTTGAGAGAGACACGAGGGTTTGGAGCACAGCAGCAAGACCAGGGACACTCCGAACTCGACACAACAACAGCGGGAGCGATAAGGGCAGCCAAGTCATTAAATTTTCACAGCAAGAGGTGAGAGAAGACGCAGAAACTCGATGCTCGGATCCCCAGTATGAGTAATATATCGAGCACCGATCACATATAGAACTTCTACTGCGCCTTCGATCGTCCACTATGCCATGATGCATCGTCGCCGTCGAACATCCAGATCATTCAGGTAGGGTAGTGGGACATGAATGCTGAGTATAGGTGCACAGCTGGAGTCGGGCTTCCGCCGCTGACAGTTTGGTGTGGGTCGTGTGGGCGGTGGCGCCTAATGATCATTACTATGATTGCCTTTTTTAGAACCACCAGTCCCCATCATGGTTTTGCCAAATGACATATCACTACGAGCGCTCTCTTGTTTCAGACGATGATGTGAGGTATGACATGACGACTGACTTCGAGGAAATATCGAGACTGGGGGCTTCTTAGACGTTCAAAGAAGAGCAGTCACAACCCCTGGTCTCTCTGCACGGGTCAGACCACGGTATGTAGAAAATTTTAATCCGCCAGCGGTGACCGTAATATTATTCATGCAACGCTTTTTATAGTCATTCTCTGTGAATACCTTGGCGCATTCAATTGCATGCGGGTCCACTGATAGCGACTACATGCTGCTCGAGTGTTGGTTAAAAGTGCGCGACCTCAGGCTTATCTTTATTCGAATCCTTTTCCCTCAACCACAGTATGGACGCGCACAGTCATGATACCGAGAAGAAGATCGATAGCTTCGAGGCTAGTAAGGATTTTGACCCCGCTTTAGAGGACCCTGCCGAGGAGTTGAGCTTGCATCGTGGTTTGAAAGCGAGACAGATATCTATGATAACGGTATTGCGAATTCTCATAATGCATCTTGCGAACCAAACTGAAACTCTTTTACTCTCCTAGCTGGGAGGCTCACTGGGCACAGGCCTCATCATCGGTTCAGGTACTGCTCTCGTCAGAGGAGGTCCACTAGGTCTCTGGTTTGGGTACTCCTTCATGGGTTTAGTCTGTTACTTCGTCATGATCTCTCTAGGCGAAATGGGTGCATATCTCCCTCATAAGAAAGGTTTTGCAGGATATGCGACTCGATATGTTGATCCTGCCTTCGGCTTCGCTCTTGGATGGAATTATGTGTTCAAGTATTTCATTCAAACTACGAACAATGTTAATGCGGCGGGCGCTGTGGTGCAGTATTGGACCTTAAGTGTACCTATTGAAGTTTGGATGGGTGTGTGCATCTTTTTACAATCCAATAATGCACTGATCCTTGTTCCAGTGATTTACATTGCGCTGAGTGTGTATGACATCTGTTTGACTAGCCCAGCTAACACGTCTCATATTAGTCTTCCTCATCAACTTATTGGGCATTCGCATCTTTGGCGAAGTCGAATTCTGGTTCTGCAGCATCAAAGTCGTCGCTTTGGTTGGTCTTATTTTGATGGGACTCATTATTGACCTCGGCGGCAATCCCCAACACGATCGTATTGGCTTCAGATACTGGAGAGCACCCTACGGACCCCTCCGTGAATATCTTCTTGCTGAAGTACACGACACTCGTGTCGCTCAGTTTCTTGGATTCTGGAGCAACCTTACTACAGCTTTGTTTTCGTACATCGGCACAGAGCTGATTGGCGTGACCGTAGGCGAAACTGAAAATCCAAGGAGAAATGTGCCAAGAGCTATTCGTAGGGTGTTCTTTCGTATTTTGGTGTTTTATGTGGGGGGTACGTTCGTCATTGGCTTGACGGTACCGAGTAATAGCAGTGTACGTGGTATTGTGCACATAAGGGGCAGTTCCTGACTTTATTGTAGGCACTTTTTGTGGCTAGTACATCTCCAGCTGGTGCTGCTGCATCGCCATTTGTCGTAGGTACGTGCCTTGTCCCTACCCATGGACTATGCAACTCTGGGACCTAACGTCTCATTGATTAGTGACAACCATTGCTGGCATAAAAGTCTTGAACCATATCATCAATGCCGTGGTGTTAATCTTTGTACTTAGTGCATCAAACTCAGACCTCTATATCGGCTCCAGAACGCTCTATGGTCTCGCTGTGGAACGCAAGGCACCTCGTATATTCGCCAAGGTTAACCGCGCTGGGGTTCCTTGGCCCTCGCTCATTCTGAACACTTTAGTCTGCTTCTTGACATTCCTTAATGCGACTTCGTCGAGTTCTGTCGGTAATGAACGACGTTTGTTTATCGCATGTAAAATGCTTATTATTCGGTAGCGTTCGGCTGGTTCGCAAGCCTTATTGCGAGCTTTGGCGCTATTACGTGGATGTGTATATCTTATACCCACATGTATGTTGTTTATACTGAGCAAGTTGTCATTTTCTGATGGAATTGCTTTCAGCGCCTTCATGCGTGCGTTGAAAGCTCAAGGAATAGATCGAAACACTCTTCCTTACAAGGCACCCTTCCAGCCATATGCTTCATGGTTTGCCTTGATTTTCACAGGCATCGTGCTTTTTTTTAATGGTAGCATTTATCTGATCATGTTTGCAATCTGCGCTAATCACATCAAACAGGTTTCAGCGCTTTTCTTCCCTTTGTATCGTCATCATTCATCACGTCAGTGGCGAAGGTGATCGTAATCTTCCGGAATACTAATTACAATCCAGATCTTACATCCCTATCCCTATTTTTTTCTCGCTATGGGGCGGATACAAGATTTACTACCGCACTTTGACAATCCCCGCAAGCGAAGCCGATCTTATTACCGGAAAACGTGAAATTGATGAAGAAGAAGCACGTTTTCTTGCTCGGGAAAAGCTGAAAGGTCCACGTTCTGGAATACAAAGAATCTGGGATGCGCTTTGAATAGTCTACCACTGAAACAGTAAGTCTTCCCAGCTTTCGAAAAAGGCATCCATGTAACAAAGTTTTCGCCTCAAGTTATTTACACCTCAAGGCCCCAAATTAATTCACATTTGGTTATCACGAGCCACGTATTTGCTCTGGTTTTAATTGTGTGCGAGATAAGATAACCTACTTTTGTACGTTAAGGTTCGCGCGGCGTTTCATGTCGTGCAGGGGCCCCTTTCAATCTATGTCGCGAAGGGCGGTTCGCGCGCGGGAAAAAGTCATTGGCTCAATCCCGGTGCTCTGCTGATTTCCGGCCTGGGACACGGGACAGGGAAATAATGGAATGTGTCCGTAGCTTCTTTCTTCCAATCCTGCGTCGTGATGGTCCACCCGCATCAATATTTACTACTAATTTGGGTATTTGGGCGCCCAAACGGTGTTACCCTGGCCGCTCTTGGGCTGGTGGCGCCGGATACCGCTGCCAATCGGTGAACTTTGTGAAGGGGTCATTCTGATTGCCCTTGATATGCCTTCCTTGGCCTTTGATGCTGGAGCACGGGAACGCGAAAACAGCTAAGTGTATACATGGCATGGAACAGGAGTAAAGAACAGACACGTTGAATTTATCATAAAGTTCCTAGCAGGCGACATGCCTGAATGAGAGTATAACCAAAACTATTCTCTTTGAGACCTGATTTATCGTAGCTCTCAGGGTCATGGGACGCCTCGGAACCTGGTTTTTTTTTTCATTGATCCAGGAGAAGCCGTCGCGGCCCATGTTAGTCTTGTTCGTGTTTTCGCCACCCAATCGACTCCTGGCCATATAGAGTAGTAGAGAGCGGATCGAAGGCGTCCACGTAGAGATGCTCGTCGACTTCTTTTCTGATAACATCTTCAATCTTCTGCATAAAATTTTTGTTTCGTCCAAGGTGAATGTAAACCACAGACGACATGATACTACGATCCCCAGCAGACAAAGTCATTCCGAGACCTCTCTCGCGGTTCCGGAAGTCGAAAGGATACTTAGAATATTGACATACAGGCGGATCGTCGCACTCTTCCAATATTTCTGGAAACCAGGTCGTAAGCCCAAGCATGGAAATCTGATCGAGCAGCTCTTGACACAGCGCGACGGCGCCAATGCCACCCAATTGCTTCAATTCATCCCACTGAAGGATATCGGCTGGAAGTCAGCAATTTCCGAACCGGCGGGAGCGAATTGCGAATTAGATTTCTTACATCCCGAATGTCAGTTACTAGCAAAGAAGTGTTCAGAGAGTTTTGGTGGATGTAATCGATGCATGATTGTATCGTCTTAATGCCAGGATGGTCGGGAGCAATTGGGTGTTCGACTTCCACTTCGTCTTTCTTCTCGAACCATGTCATGATCTAATAGCAGAAGTAGCTTTTAACGGTGGTTTAATTGCATGCAATGATGAAGTACTCACTGGAGCGATATTCATACTCAGCATAGTTGCTCCGGCTTCGATGCAGGCGCGAGCATGTGCAAGGGAAGTCACCACTGAGAGATGTATACTTATTGAGTATCTGTTGGTGAGTTCACGCGCAGCACGGATACCGTCATCTGTCGCTGGAAGCTGAGGATAGTCAAAGGAAGGCTGTATGCACTACTAGAAGCGCATTACCGTGATGATAACTCTCCATCGTCGGACATCAGCTCGGTCAAAAAGTTCGACGAGGGCACGGGCTTCGTACACCATGGCAGCCTTGCTGTCGTGAAGTCGCGAATCGATGAATATCACCACCGGGCCTTTGACTACATCTAACATGGCCAAGCCAAGTTCAAAAAGCTGTAAGACTATCAGTGAGCCTTCACGTAGGGTAGAAGTCTAACACACGAATTGCCGAAGGACAAGCCTCATATAGAACGTTTTCGAGGATTTTCTGTTATATGATCGCTGACGCTCCATAAACATAAGGAACCAAAGACTAACGGATATCTTTCGAGTACTTTCTTGGTAGCGACCCAGACATGGTAACGAATGCCAGTCGTATCTGCCAGGTCACTGACATTCTTCGGGGTGAGCAAGCAACCCCAAACGCCACGAAAATACAATGCTGCTCACAACTTCAGTCAATCACATCCAATGACACAGCCAGGGGAACATACCCATAATGTCAGCCGTATCCCCATAGATTGGGACATCCCTGTATGGAAACGAGGGCACCACCCCCATTTCGTCTGCCTCGTTGGAAGAGGGCTCAGGTAGGACCTCATACCGAGTGCTCATCCATAAATCCAACTTAATCTTGTCCTCCCTTGAGATAGGGTAAGTACCCTGGCATTCGGTCCGTCGGGGTTTTTGCGGATAGTGTTCATCGGTAGTGGCGCTAGGGACGGCCATTCTGTGAGATAGATACCCGTTCCCTGCATCGCATCCCCAGCCAGCTTTTTAAAGCGACAGAATGTCCACAAAACGACCACTGTGGCTCATTGTCGCATGGGCAGGCTCGATGTTTTGCCCGCCTTCAAAAGCGGCATAAGCCTGTACGCAGCAATCTTTTTTTTGTCAAAGGGAGATAAAGAAAGGCACCATTCCGTTTCATTTCTAGACACATTCTGACAGATCTGAACGGCTTTTGACACGACTGTTGACTCGGTGCTTCGGATCATCATCAACCGATCATCAAAGACGACAATAGCCAACCGCAGTATCAACGGTCAAACGAGCTTCATAAACACTGTGTATGTGGGCGTAGGAATCTTCAGAAATAGGGTGGTGCATGCCATGGTCACCGTCGACCCCGAAGTCGTCCAGTGCACGGAACTATAAGCCAATCGTTTCATGACTTCAAAAGGTCCGATAAAAAAACTGCTAGTTGCAGGTAGTGGCGACGCACGCCCGGCGAAGGTTATGTCGTTTTACCCGCGAGGAGGGCTCGATTCGGCGTTAGTCCGAGCCCAGAACGTCTGAACCTTCTCTTCATGAATCATGGATCATGGATCCAGCGAATCCGATGCACGTCCAAAGGAAGTCCGAAGCTCGAATCAAGCTGTTCGCAGAGTCCAAAGATGAAGAGGGCAGTGATTTTTAGAGGCAAAAAGGGTTTGGAATTATGCCCGAGCGAGTACCCGTTTCCATCAGAATGTTCACTGCCTTGATTGTTCTAGTGTGGTATTTGGCGCTTGGGAGAATATAGATAATTTTAAAAAAGTTATCGACGTCGGCAACGCGAAGAGATGATGTGGATATGGCCGAGGATGTTAGCTCTTTGCCAAGGTCGCAGGCAGGAACGAGGAGAGTTCAGGTTCGCTGAGCTTTGGGATATACGTAACAGTGCATCGAAGAATCTGGCAGATCATTTGAAACAGCCGCGAAGACCAAATTGAACGGGGTTACCAAAACCGCATCAACGCTCAGTTGATCGAAGCGATGTAAAATTGATAGGTTCCGTAGATACAAGTCGCAACAATAATACTCATAACACCACCTACTTATATTACAATGAGTATCAAGATTATACAATTCATGCACATATATCCACTAGAATGCGTGATAACTTTTTACAATAGCGAAGCGCAAAATTAGAAGTAGTAGGTTGTTCGTAGGCTCTAGAAATAGCGATGCGGCAAAGAGAGCTAGTCGAGATGCAGCGAGACAGTGATAGCAATAGAGCGGGGGTATCATCTAAACCGATCAGTCCAAAAGAAGAGAACAACAATCCGACGTATTTCGGTTCTACCGATGAACCTGGGCACGTTCGGCCGAATAAGCATGCCAGTTATCCACTTCAGCTTCTGGCACAGTTTGGGCAAATGGAGGGAGAGTAGTGTGGTAATGGTTTGAGGGCCCATTATGGTTGTGATGGTTTGATGACTGCGAAAACCAGTCTGTAAGCAGTTGGGATATTGATTGCGTACAACTCACGCTGTAATGATCGTCTTCAACCTTGACGGATCCGTAATGATTGGAATGGTAGTTGCTTGGAAGTGGGTGATGCGACAATGAACTTGGACGACTGTTGACCGGGGAATGCGATGAGTGTTGCATTTGGGTGGGCTGCTGGTGGGTGAAACAGAAAACAATGGTCACTAGGATCCAGAGAGTTCTCATAGAGTTGGAGGACATTACGTCACTCGCGCAAGGAAAAAGCACTCGCCGAAAATGGAGGACTTGAAGTTGAACTTGATCCGGACGGAGTATGAGGAAGGTGATGAAAAGCGGGAGCGTGCAAATTAAAGAGCGAGGAGGAGTTGCCTGAAACACCGCCATGACCAGATGTGCCATTGTGGGAGGGTATATTGCCATACTGGTGATGGGAAATTGGCTGCGGAATGGTAAGTGGAGGTGGACGATCACCATGAGGGGCGTCTTGCGGCTAAGTAAAAGGCGTTGTCAGACTACTAATAGTGTTGAGGAAGGAAAAGAACAGACCATGTAGAGATCATCCATTTTGCGTTTCTTGAAGTCGCGGTCACAGTTGCGAGTGTCGTGGAAGTTGGACATGGAGTGCCGACGATAGTCTGAGGACAAATGACCAGCTCGATGGTCAGATTCCAACAAACGTCTCATTTCTTCATTTTCTTTCTGCAAGCGAGTATTTTCTTGCTCGAGCTCGCGAATTTTGACCAAGGGGGGCGGTAAAGCCGCCACTTGGTCTGGAGTAAAGCCCAAAGCAGTTTGTAGTTTAGTGACGGTTTGCTCGAGCTTGAAAAAAGGGAAAAGTTAGAAAACGCGTCAAGTTCGCGTCGTATGGAGCTAACCTGCTCGATGTAGGCCTTTCGCTTTGCACGATGGCGAGCTTGAGCTTTAGCATTACGGCTGCGCTCTGGACGATCGGGTTGTGACGAGACAGATTCAGCAGCGGAGTGAGCCATCGAGGACATGTAACGTTATAACGTAACTTTGGGAGAGGAAAGATAGTTCGGGGTTGTAAAAAAAAAGGATTGGACGGTTATTATAGTTGGCGTACGTTGAAAGGACTCCACTCAGACGCCCAAGCCATCGCAACTATTCCAAAAGAATTCAGTGCCTCGGATTCCGAATTATTCGCTTTGAAAAGTCAGCCGACATGTCTTCAATGCGACCCTGGTGGCAAGCTTGATTCCTTGCAATCTTGAATCAAATCTCAACGAACCTTCTCCGACTCCATTGTATTACATTACAATGTCTGTGTGTTCACGGAAATCCTTTGAACAATTATTTTACCTTGCCCCCCGGCGGTTCACCCCAAGTACCGCAACTTACCTTCCTATGTTGTTTTGAAGATAATAATTTTTCACAAGAGAGTTCCCCCGTCGGCAAGTTGCGGTTGTTCCATCAGGCTAATGCCGCTGTGCCTTAGGGATGCGTTCGTGTGTTGATCCCCGATCAACAAAAATATATTATAATCTACTTCCGCGTGCAATCTACTCAATTTTAAAACTCAGAACTCCGCGATACTCCGCCACTTCTCCAGACCTTTCGTTATTGCGAAGTGTTCGCTGAGATGCACTCCCCGAATTATAGCGTACATAGGTCTACTCATCTTCTGTGATTATACCACTACTGCTACTACTACAACCATACAACTATTAACTCACTAGTACCCTCGGATATCCACGGCTGCTTCGAACATGTCACCATTCAGGGACTCCGTCTATCATAAGATCGAAGCCCTCTCTCCCCATGTATATCCCCCAACGCTCCCTACTACACTACAAGTACGCTTATCGACCAGCGGCTATCAACTTCCGCTCGATGGGAATCCGCGCAGAAATGGCGAGGTGCCAATCACCTGCCACCTCGGTTATATATCGGTGCTCAATTAATCGAAAAATATATCCCACAAGATACCTTTCGGTGAGATCCGGTTCCGCCAATGTCCTACTAGCACTAACCCTTGGGGGGTCTATTCACAAAAAAAAAACGCGACTGTCTGCCAGTAGCTGACTCCGTGATTGACGGGGTCTTTATACCCTTTCTCCAAATCGCATCTACTAAACAAGTTGGTAGTTTATCCACTTTCAAACTGAACCCCACCAATTCAATCGGCAATCCCCGTCCTCCCACGCGAAGGCTGTGCAAGTCTCTTCACGCCAAACTTCTTTCCGATCCAAGCCTGTGACTGGGTGATCTTCATTTATTGACCAACCTGGGTATGTCTGCCGCATTAATGTCCTGCCTTTGTACGTCATGCCACTCCAATTCAACGCCTCGCAATCGCGTTCGAGGGTCCCTCTCATCCTTAGCCGCTGGCCACTCAGGTTCAACCTAATAATAATCACCGCAGCGAAGCCTAACAAGGGTACACACGGACCCATTTTGCGACTGGCACCAGCCTAGCTCGAGCGCTTTGTTTCCCTGCGGTTCGGAACCTCCAATATAGGCATGTAAGAGCCGAAGGGCGAGCAGGTCGCCCATCGACCCCCCATACATAATATCTAATGCGGTTCCAATTTTGATAGGCGCAAGGCGTGGAACATTCCACCGCACACGATATGGGGTCGCGGCTCGGTGGCCAGTGGCCGACCATCCTCCTTCCTCTTTCGACACTCGTCGATTTATTTATGGCCCCTTCATCCCAAGCTCACACTCATTGATCGAGGTATCATTGCATATTGCGATAACTACTTCCAAGACATCGTCATCATCATGTTCCCCTCCTGTACCGTCGGAAAATTGGGCCACCACTCGTCGCGGCCACGAGTCTGATCGTGGTGGCATTAATCTTCACTTTCCTGTGGTCTCGGATGTCGCGATCACCGGCAATTAAGCTATCTCGGGACTCTCTCCTCCAGCCTCATGGAAAGCTCAAGGCATATCTAAGCGAGATGATGAGGCTTTTACTTCCAAGAGATTTGCATGGGAAGAGGTATCCGGCTAAACTTCTCAGTTGAAGCCAGAGAAGCAGATAATATTGACTTCGGGACAATGTTTCTCCTAGGCTAGAGAATATGTAGCTCCGAGTCGAATCCCGAAGACATGTTTGAGATGAACGGTCATCATATGCGCCGGCGCCTCGTATGTAAGTATGAGCTCTTCGGGAAGGTTGCAAACTTTAATAATGCGGCCTACAATTGTAATGGGGACAATTGTTATAGGTTGCCACCTACTCCTTTTGCAATAGCAAGAGTACTTCGGAATGGAACCAATATAGTTTACCTCGCCTCCACCCACCGCATTTAGCAGGTGGCATCCGACAACGCAGTTAAATATATTTGCTTATCACTAGTACACAGTCTTGCAGCAAAGTGAAAATGGATGCATCGCGAATGG